CTAAAAATTGCAGCGACTGCCCTTTTGCTGTAGAGACCTTTTCCTTGTCATTAAAACCTGTGCCCAGTAAGTGCTGCCTTTGGTTTTATTAAGGTTGTAAAAATGCCACCTTTGAGCTGTTTATATTTCTTAACTCCCTCAGAAATGGTTAATTACAGAGTCAGATCTTCTTAAATGGCATTAGGATAGGGATTCCGAGAAATCCCGAGACTTCCGAGAAGTTCCTTTCTCGTTGATTTTAACAGTGAGGAATCACAGGACTGAAACAATAGACACCAAACCATGATCTTAGTACATCTAAGGAGTCAGCTGTAAAAATAAAAACCTTAAATTAGAAGCTCAAAATGTCAGGGGATGAGGTAGGATACCAAATTTTCTGTATTTTGCTATTAAAGTTACTTTAAAAACTGGGAAGCTGAGGGGCTCCACACGTGCTTGAGTGACCAAATTAATGTCAAGCAGCAGCCCTGGGCTAGACAGTGATCTGAGTGGATTGGGATCAAAATGGGCACCCAGGATCTGCTACAATGCATTTTTCAACTGCTTTCAACAAGGTCCCTCTCCTTGGACATCTTTTTGTAAAGCCACAGTTGCTTTCTTGGACGTCTCACAGAGTGAAATCCATGTTTTTGTACTTGTTAGGCAAATGTTGACAAGGAATGTTTATTTTTTGTTGTGACTTTCGAGATAATATCTGTCTCCTTCAGAAAACTCTGAAAATTTCATTGAGCTTACTTTTCCCATAGAGATTTTCAGCACCAAAATTTGTATATGTATTTTCTGGAGAAGAAGAGGGAAGACAGGAGAGAAAATGGAAATGTAACTTAGAAGAGATCAGTCATTGTCTGCAGATATTGTTGGTTCAACAGGCCTGGTTTCTGTAGGACCAAATAATGAATTTCTCAGAAGACAAAGTCCACCCAGTGCCTCTGCCTGGCTCTGAAGCAGGTGGGAGCACAAAGGGCATGGAGAAAACCACGGAGAGTGGATCTAAGGATTTCTGCAGGCTTTAGTAGGTGCTAGATCCAGACAACCTCCCAGTTTGTACGATCCTGATGATGTTCTTCCCACTCTTCTGCCTGGTTTTCCTCTCTCTGATGCTCATTTGCCACCTCTCACGTGACATTGAGACGTGGCAGCTCAGGGCAGGTTGTAGGAGCTCCTTCTGCCCGTGACCTGCCCATCTTGTGCTGGCTCTTGGTTCAGCTTTGTAACTGAAGATTAGCAAATCACACAAAAAGGTGGGTTGATCACTTTTTAGTTGACAAAAACAGATAATTCATTGCCCAGGCAACTTGGGTTGACAGAGTCTAACCGTCCTTTTTTCAAAGGATGTGGTGGATTTACTTATTCCTGTTTCTGTGTTTGATTTACTACCACATGATTTCATTAAATAAGAACTTAACGTGAGGATTTCTGCCAAGCAACTTTAGGCAAGGCCCATATTCCACAAATCCCTAAATTTGAGGGTGGTGGGTGGGGGAATAATCATATTTTTCTAGAAGATGTCCATTCTGCCTGTGGACTAGAATTTAGGGTAGTTTGTTATTACCGTTGTTGCTTTAAAAACCTTGTAAAATGATGTTTATTTTCCTCCCATAAGATAATGAACTTGAATTTTTCAATTCAGTTAAGTTGATTATAACTAATAACTCTTCATTCTCTAATAAATACCAACATTGGAGGGAATAAAGGAACCACCTTCAAACAGGCAGCGTTTCAGGCTTGAACTGGTTTTAAATTCAGGCAGGATTTCTTGGAGCTCTCTCCCGCCCTCCTCCAATTTGAGGCCATACAGCTCATGTTTGTTGGCATTTTTAAGTAGATAAAAGTATGTAAGAAGGTTCCTCCCTTTAACTACTGGATAGAAAACCCATATCCTGGTGGCTCAACTGTCCAGATCATGTTAAATTTCAGTGGAAGAAAATAAGTAAATGCAAAGAAGAAAATGCCAAAGAAAATGCAACGAGGGAAGAAAAAGTGATGTAAATTGGCCAAGAAGTCAGTTCCACGTCTTGGCCCAGGCTCTGTGGTGGTGTAAATCATTGGGGTGGCCATTCCACTTCACCACAGCTTTCAACCTGACCTGTTGTCAGCTTCCAGCAAAAGTGATAACAGTCCAAAGCACTGCAGCCCCACAGCAGTTTTGTCCATTTCTGTGTGCTGATCTTCACCCTGGGGTGCTGGTTCTGTGCCAGTCCTCAGCTTTAGGGTGACTGTCGATGCAAACTGAGGTCACAGGAGCGATGCCATTGCTGAAGGTTGGGCTGGGGAGGAAGGCACACCTGGGGCGGGTCTTGTCCCCATTTCTGAGCTAAGTATCAACTCCTCTGCTGGAGAAGGATGTCTAGAGGACAACTAGCAAGGAGAGGTTTAAGGGGTAGTCAGCAGGCTATTATTGTTGCTTTGGAATACTCCAGATGGGCCTCTGGAGATGTTCTGGGGAGCCGCTCTTTGGAGCTTGTGCAGCTCACCTGAGTTCAGGCCAGCACATGCAGCCCCTGGCTAGAGTGAGCTGGAAAGGCAACCTGCTATGGGTCAGCCTTGACACTTCCTTTTGCCTTATTATGCTCTTTTTTGGTCATTTTGGGGTTGGCTTCAGGTGGCAGTGGCACCATTTACCACCCAGCACCTCATGCTGCTGCTCACCCTCCAAACATCTCAAGTGTTCTGGTCAGTGGCACAAGAAATTGTGTTTACATCTTCTCTGAGAGACATCCAGAACTAAGTGGGGAAAAATGGCCAGAACAACTCAGTGCTTTTGGCTTATTGTTTGAATATTTAAAGACATTGCATCTGGAAAGTATTCCATTAATTTGTGGCTAGCACCCATATATCAAATTCATGAGCTTCCAAGTAAACAGCTGTCACTGGAGCTGCCACGGAGGGAAATTGGCACTGGTGGCTTGTGGTGAGCAGAGAGGGAACACGCTGGTACAGACTAATCCAAGGAGGAAACATTAACCCAGATGTGTAGAGGACAATGAATGAATTGTTCCTCAGAGCTCCTCAACTTCTCAGCTGTAGTAACACGAGACACAATTAAGGCTTCACACTATTATATCCACTCACACACACGCACAGAACTGTGCACACCATCACAGCCAGAAGGATGGGGCTGCATCCCGTAGCTGTGCACCGTAAAGCAGCCTCCGAGTCATCCCCACGCACGTGGGAAGGGGCACTTGTGTTTGAGGGAGAGAGGAGGACACTGTCATGTTGGTGGCCAATCTGTCTTCAGGCTGGCTGGGTCGTGTAGCTGTCATTTGATGTTTGCCCAGCTGGAAACACCAATGTTCATGGCATCCTCAAGGAAGACGTGGTAGAGCTGGACCCATCCAGGCCTTGGTGCAGCAGGGAGTGCATGGGGTGCTTGCCACAAAACTTCAGATACTTTGGGACTGTTGGCGGTGCCGGAGGCCTCGGCTGGAGCTGTGATTTCCAGTACAAGCAGCTCAGAGCAATGCCAGAAGTTCCACCTGAATCCAGGGGAAGTGCTGAGGTGAGGATTCGGCCTCGGTTCCCAACACTGCCAGTGTTGGCAGAGCTGTTTGTCATGTGGCCCAGGGCGGGGGGGGGGGGCCTGGTGTCCTCAACTGCTTGTTTGACCTGTCTGGTTTCCATGTGGTACTCAAGTAAATGAACCAATTAATTAAGAGGAATTGTGTACATGGAAATGGGACAGAGATGATATCACTATTTATGTTTTCTTGGGAGGGGCGTTATGGAAGTGCTGAAAAACCCCATGGCGAGATCGGGGTCTCTGGGGTGGGTGTGATGGGGCATCTGGGGAGGTTCCAGCTGAAATGGAGGAAGGCAGTTTCCCACCCTCTTTCCAGAAGGGAGAATCTGAGGCTGAGGGAGATGAGGGGAGTCCCCTGAGGAGGTGACCGTGTCAATCCCAGGGGACGCATGGATGACACAGGAAGGAAGGGAAAACAGTTTCCCCCTGCTGCTCTGACATGTGCTGTCGGTGCTCTGGCACTCCACGGGGCTCGGGATTTACCTTCTGTTTACTAACCAACCCAGAGTGGGTTTGAACTGGTGACCTAAAGGTGAAAGGCTCTGCATCTTATTAGAATTACTGTGAGCTGCTCGATGAGTCCCCCATGGCAGTTAAGATTTGATTATGGTTCTAGAAAATGTTCAACTTTTACAATTAGTGTCAAAGCAGTGGTAAGCCCCTCTTTGATTCCTGGGTGTAGGCTCGTGCTTTTCTTAACCTCACACATATGCTGGCATATTTACAGTAAGTGCTCAGGGGTTTGTTTTTTTTAATTATTATTTTTTTTATTTTTGAATTAAAAATGAAAGTCCCCCAGGGAAATTATGCAATGGGAAATAGCTACTTCAATAAACTCGACTCACACATTTTATTGATTATGGTAAATTTAATTATTCCATTTAAACTTTGCTTACACACACACAAAAAAAAAACCCTTATCCTTTTCTTCCTGCATGTTTTTTCCTGGTTTTGTATCCCTCTCTACAGACCAAAACTGTACTATGTATTATTTTAAACTTTTTAGAGAAGAAATACTCAAGGCTAAGCTTCTTCCCCTAATTAGAAATTAAAAATTAGAAAACATACCATAAATCTTATTCAAAACATCTTCAAATAGAACTACTAATTGTTAAACTGCAGTAATTATGGCTTTTAATACAGCTCTTTTGCCTCTGCCATATATGACGTGCACCGTTTTTGCTAAGGGAGACAATTATTCAAGTGCAAAGGATGTTAAAAAAACCCAAAACAACAAAGCATGGGCAAAAATAGGAATTTCTCTTATTCAGGACTTCATTAGGTGATACTGTTCATTTTCTTGGTACTCAGATATTGCCCAGAGGTTTTTATCTTATTTGGAGACCTTTGCACTGAGGTTTTTAGAGGTTGCTGCCACAAGGCAGTGAAAGAGCTTCTGGTCCCTGGGTCATCCCTGGGTCTGGAACCTTATTTCCATAGAAACCACTGCTAGTGGGGTTTTTTCTTTCTCTTTCAGGGAGCTGCTGCTGCTGCTTCTGACCTACTGAACTACATTCAATCCAGGTAATCACCTCTTCTCTTCTCAAACTTACAAATGGTCTCTGCTTCCTGGGGAAATGCATTAGTTCACTACCTTGTGACTCTTCCCATGAATTGAGAATGTTCCTGTGGATACAGGTCTGTGGGACTGAGGTCAAAACAACTCACCATGGCTAGAAATTAGGATGTGGGAAGCAGAATTGTCACTGGAGATGAAGAATCAGAAGTAATTCCCAAAGTCTGTGCTCCCTCTTGCATGGGGGGACTATTCAGAGCCAGCCCATCCCTGCACTGAGGTGAATCATGGTTGGGCTCCCTCCTTGAAGCTGCAAAATTCAATCTGGTAAAGGGCTATTTGGGGTTCTGGGAGCTGAGGCTGACCACTTCTGAAAGGTGAGGAAGGACCCAGGGTTTGTTCAAAGCTTTGTTGCTTCCAGATACATCTTTCATCCAAGTTCTTTCATGAGACTGTCAGAGCAGGGCTTGTCTGAATCCCACGGCCAAATCCTCATCTGGGAAGATCTGAAAGGGCCCCTTTCTTTCAAGGGAGCTGCACCCCTTCAGTCAGTGGGGGGAGCCTGGAAGAAGCCTAGCACCCTTCTGGATATCCCTTCTTGGAAAAGGATGGACTGGGCAATACTCCACTGAGACCTTGACACTGTTTTTCACATCCTTTGGTTTCCTGCATTACAGTGTAAGTGGTTCACCATGGGGATACTTGTCCTATGGCTTCATAAAAAAACCAAACCAAAGCTCTGGGATACTCTGCGTCCTCGTAGGTTTCGTATTTATTTGCTTTATTCAAGAAGTATAGCTGGAAATAAGTATTTACATATTTCTAAATGACCTACAGTTAAATATAACCACAATCTGATGTAAACTGGCGAGGCTCCTTTGAATTAAATGGATTCACTCCAGCTTGCACCAGATGAGGATTAGGCCCCAAGATTCATGCAAGCCCAGTTGTGATGACTGTGAAAAGAACTCAGATTAAAGATGGGTTTGGAAGCAATCAAACCAAATCATGAGCCTGGCTGATTTCATTTGTTTCCCTGGCAAGTCCTAGATTTCTGAGAATACCACCTTGCTGCAATATGTATTACACCAAATCCTTCCCTCAGTGAGCCCATCGCCACAGCTGTCGCTGTCTGTGCCGTACCTCCCCAGAACAGTCCCTCCCCAGAACTGTCACCACACTTGCTCTGGCTGCCGTGGCGAGGAAACTTCGCCATGTAGCTCATCCCAGACTCAGCTTTTGGCCCGGAGAATTATTCTGCAGATGGGCCAGCCTAGGACACGTGTTCCCGCTGGGATCGGCCTCCGCTCCCCCCTCGCTGCCTCCTTAATGAGAGCGAGCGCTTGGACCAACAAACAGCTCCTCACATGGCAACAAAAGACTCCTTGTCATTACCCAGGCTGGCTCCAAACCGAGTAGAAAAGGGGATTTTTTTGGCAGGGCTGCGGATCACAGAGTCACAATATACAGCTCATCACTGGTGCTGCCAGTGATGCTCTTTGGTAGGTTATAAAAATCACTTCCTTGCTCCTTGCCTCAGTTCCCAGAGCTGTGGGTCGTGGGCTCTGGGAGCATTGGCACACCAGGAGATGTGATGGGTGGTGATATGAGCAATACTCCAAATGGAACCCCTGACAAGAAGGAATTTGGAAATCTGACTTAGGAGTGTAAGAATCACCCCAGAAGAAAAATTCCTCATCCACCCTCCCTCCTGAAAAGTGAGCCCGAGTCCCATTCCTGCTTTTCACAGTCTTGCATAACAATCTACATGAAGACTTGAGGGTGGCAAAGCCAAATGCCTCATGTTGTAAATTTTGAAATGGCACAACTGCAGGGCTCTTGGCATTTTTGTTTTTCCGCTGGATGTTTTCCTCTCAAAGCAAAGTGCACTCAGAAAGGATTCTACTTTGGCAATACAGCATATTTCAAAGGAAGAGATGTGTATTCCTTATATTTAGCCCGTTAACCACATACATATATGGTTGTTCTGAAGTTTTACCAACCATCTCTATTTACTGCTAGTTCAAAGAAAGCAGAATCCAAGTGTCCTGTGGATTCCTTGCTATCCCAACACACACAGACCTCAAGGTTGGAAGGAAGTTGCAGTATTATTTCTTCCTTGCCCTATTATTTTTATCTCCATTTCCAGTGGCAATGACAAGTGCTGTTCCAGTGAGGTGCTGCACACCTTGAGCTCCCATGGAGTCCCTGACAGGAACAAGAATTTCCATAAAGGGATGGATGTACAGGCACCATGGTCAATCCTGGCTGCCTTCCAGCCCATCTCCAAACACGGGAGGAGGAAGGGGATTGCCATAGAGGGAGACCCCGGAGGTTAAGGTGCTCCTGCCAGGGTGCTTTGGGAGCAGGCTTGGGTGGAACATTTTTTGCAGTGCCTTAGTCCTGGTTAGTGCTGAAGATGCCCAGGCACAGCATGCTGATCACCTGCTTCTTTTCACAGCATCACTCTTGCATTTCTCTGACAATAAGTAATTCCTTCCTCTCTCTTTACAAGACTCCCATGATTTCATGGGGGTATAAAAGTCTTGATTTTTCCGCACCTATTCCTGTTCCTTTAGCCTGTTTATTCACTGGTTCATTTTGTACACTGGAAGATGCATTCAATTTTTATGTATTTCCCTTTCTCTGTTTCTTTTTGTTGCTATTAGTTATCTCCAGAAGGAGCAGCCTGGGTGCCTTATCTGCCCAAAGGCACGGGCGTGTGGGTTTCTTGCTTTGCCACCCCTCCACAAGATTTCCTTACATTTGCCTAGAATTTAATCTGTAACACGCTCTGCGGAGCTGGTTCCAAGGAAAAAAGGCTCAACACATGATATCCTCTCTCTTCAGATCCCATTTCCTTCTGCACAGCCCCCATGTGCTGGGCTGGCAGGATGGGTCCCCCCGCTGTGCTGGTTTGACATCATCGCTGTGGTGCCACTGAGCAACATGTGGCAGACAGCTTTGTCACCCAGGACAGCCCAGCAAGCTGGGATGAGCAAACAGCAGCTTCCAGCAGGAATGCTCCTCCTCTTTCTAAGCTGGTCTTTCTTGGAGAGTTGGAAAATAGGAGATTGGGGTTTTTTTTCCCTTCCGTGTGATTCGTGATGTTTGCTGTGGCATAGAGGGACACCAGAAATATGATTTAAAAAGGGTCCTCCAGGGCTATCCTGATGATTTTTTGATTACTGAAAAGGCCCAAGGAAGCTTCAGAGTCCAGCATCAGTGGCTGATCTGCAGCAAACCCAGTGAGGACACCCCTGTACCCTGAGAGCCCTCACCCAGCCCCCTTGGCCACGGAGCCGTCGCGGCTCATTTCTCGGTTGGCCAGAAGCCCCGTCCGTGTCGCTGCAGAGCCCAGGCTTGCCCTGAGACAGGAGCAACTAGTCATGCCCCATCTATCTTACATGCTCTTCCTGAGCACCTCCCAGACTGTACTACATTTATCCTCTTAGCACCTCTGTAATTATCTCTCCTGTAACAGATGAGAAACAGGAGAACATGGAGGTTTTGCAATTTGAGCGGAGCCGTGCAGGAGCTCTTTGGCAGAAGAGGCGGCCTCCCGAGGGGTGAGTAATGTCCTTTTGACAATCCCATTAGATTCCTGTTTGTATCCTTACATCCCCTCCCACAGGCACAAAGTCACTGCTTGAACCTGACCCTTCTGGGGCTGATGGCAGCCATTTCCCATTGTCCTTCCCAGTCCCCAGCACAACTCCCAGACAACAGATCCACAAAGCGGTTCCACTCTGATTCAGTTTGAAGGCTCAAGTCGCATTTATGCCAGCAATGTAAACATCATTTTAGCTTGGCAAATATACAGAAAATTCTCAACAGCTGCAGTGTCCTGCAGAATCATTTTGCCCCAAAGCACGAATGCACTTACAGCTCTATTTGAAGCAATGTGACTGGAAAAGTGAATCAGGTGGCACTTGGCTTTGAATGTATGTATATGGCTTTGAATATATGTGTATGGTCAGCTCTGCTAACCAGATAAATGGTTGAGAAGTTTACCAGGAACCTGACTATGGCTTTAAACCCTGAATGAGCAGCAGCAGTTGAGTGGAGGCAGACAGACAGGGTAAACTCAGGGAGGCACATGCTGAGCTGAGCAGAGGACTCTGTAAAACAGTAGAGCAGTGGAAGCAGATCAGCCAGACTTAGTCTGGCTGCTGAACATCCTTCCTGGAGAGTGAGTCAGCAGCAGGTTAATTAGGCATAGCTAGGCAGGGAGCAGCACTTCTGACAGGAGAGGCTTTAATTGATAGGATCATTTTCAGCACAATAATATTAATTAGTAATTGCGATAGGGAACATGAAGGCAGGTGGAGCACTTTCTGTCAAGGTATTTTTATAAGGAATTAGGCTGTATAAACACCCATTGTAAATACATTGTCCTTGTCAGGTGTAATAACTGCCTTGGCACATAGAGTCTCTGCTCACAATGGAGAGATAATTAAAGACACAACTGCACACTGCGGTGCTTCTCCCAGCTGCTAATTGTGTCACCAGAGAGATCTAAACAATTATATTAGGAAAACACTTGGGCTCTGTTAATAGTAATTTCCAAAATGAGGACAATAAATAGATTGAGAAAATGCTGTGAGCGTGGAGACAGCCTTGGAAAAAGCTAGAGGAAAAACTGTATTTCTGATGCGAACATGGAAATTTGAAATGGGAGTAAGGTGCCTAAACATCTTGGAGGAACTTAGTCCCTGAGCTTTCTGGATCCAAATCCCACCCTAGCCTACAAATAATTTCATATTTCACAGCCTTCACACTTTCCTCAGATGTATGTTCTTGTAGAAGGAGGGCTGAATCCCAAAGACATTACTTAAGGGAAATTTCGATTCATGTCGCTGAACATTCACAACTGATAATCCCGGTAATAATTCCCACGAAAAACTGTGTTATATTACATGTTGTAATTTATGATGTATAGCAAGTATAATATGTTGTATAACTCTGTATTACAGGTCTACATTACATACCTGTAATGTTATGTTCTGGTAATTAAACCAATTAAAGTGCAGTTATGAGCTCATTAAACCCAAGAAATATGAGATGTCAATCAGTTTGGGTTTTATCAAGATAAAATGTTATCAAAGTCAAGTGAGTCACTCCTTCAAACCAAGTGTTCATTTATGTCTCCATTTATGACACACGGACAGACAGCATGATCCAGAAAATGCCTGTATGGACAGATATGACCTGCACTCCCAGACCCTATGGTTGAGCAAACTGCTCCTGGACATTTTTACCCCTTTGGTTTCCCATGATTCATCTGAGTGGGATATTCTGTTGCAGTTGTAGCATTTTAAATATTTCATTATTTAATACTAATATTTCATTATTTAATACTAATTATTTAATAATAATAATAATAATTTATATTATTATTTTAAATATTTAATACCATCACACAGTTCTTTACGGGTCTGATATAAGCAACACACAGCCCCCAGTCAGGTATGTAGGTTTTGTCCCTCAGAGAATGCCAGAATGACTTAGACACTCCGAATTGTCCTGCTGTGGTCAGATGCCTTTTCCCAGGTCCTGCAGTTCCTAAACTGGTCCTTGCCGAGTCAGCAGGTCCAGCTCTCCCTCTCGGCTCAGAGGTGATCCTGACTTAGCTCTTTTGAAGTCACCTGGGACTGGTGCCTGCCTGCCTGGAGCAGAACATTACACTCTGGAATAAATATACTCGGGGCAGAAATCTTCTTCCCACTCAAGTTCTCCCATGACCTTTATGGTGGGGACAAGATTTTGGGCAGAACCTCAGTGCCATCCCAGTCAGTTGCTGGGAGCGTGTTGGCTGGGGCTGAGCGATGGCAATCCTGGGCTTTGTGCCATGGAGGAGGGATTTGGGACAGCCATGCTGGTGATCAGCAGAGGCTGCAGAAGGGAGAGTTCAAATCCTGCAGAAAGGCAGCAGAGGAATGGCAGTGACACAGGGTTAGTGGAACTGGGTCCTGGCTCTCACGCTGTCTGCACTGCTCGGATACATCTCGGGCTGTTGAGGGCAGGGACTGCCTTCATATTATGTTTGTACAGCATCTGAACAGTCATCAGGCCTTGATCCTGACTGTCATCCCTCAGGGGGCTCTAACATCAGCAATAGTAACACTGATGATGATGCTAATGAAAGTCTGATGGTAGTTACTTTTTCATGTGGTCCAGAAAAGCCCCACACCTCAGGTTCAGCTGCTCCAGAGCGGAGAAACTGTTTATGTTTGTATTGTTTTTCTGGAGGGAGGAGAGTGCTTGTGCCCAGAGATCAAGTCCGTGGGGAGAAAAGAGAATTATGGAATGATTTTTCTATTGTGCCTAACGAGATAATGATCAGAAAAAGGAGGAGGGAGAGAGGGAATTGTGGATGATGTTGTTATTACCAAAATGAAAGAATTTGGATATAATCATAGCTGTTAGGGAAATGTGTTTTTAAAGACCTTGAGAGAGGTCATAATGAGAGTTTACTTTGTAGATCTAATCACAGTTTACAAGACCATATGCCAGTTCCCAGTGGTGTCCATAGTGAACAGCAGGACACCAGTAGTTTTCCAGATGTGGCTTCCCCCCCTAGAAGGAGAATAAAACCAGTGAGAAGAACTGGAGTGACCCAGCACTGGGGGAGCCTCTGAACTCCTTTTGACTGGGACGCCCTCACGAGTAGTTTGGTTGTTGCCTGGTAACATTGGCCTAAATTCTTCCACAGAGCAACTGAGCCCACAAGAGTAAAGGACAAACTCGGAGAGGGATCAGAGGTTCTAATTTTATGGAAGTATCCTCATAAAACAGAGCTGAAGCACAACATCTGTCCCAGGTACCTGATGAGTATTTGGAGTCATATCAGTAATGCGGGAGAGGGAAGGATGTTTGGTGCCAGCAGGGCATTACTACCTTGTGAAACGTGCTAGTACAGGGAAGGTCACAATCTCAACTTCTGCCCTAAGCAAACACTTGCAAACACTCACTTATGTAGCCCCCTTTGATCAGATCCTTCCATCACCCACCCCTGGATCTCGGCATTGCCCCAGTGCCACTGCAGCACAAGCACTTTCCAGGTCACAGCAATGGGAGAGCTCACAAGGGACTGTGACATCCCTGGATCTTCTTCCATTTTTGCTTGGAGAGAGTCATGTTTGTGGATGCCTTGCTTTTGGAGGAGTGGACCTGGAAAAGATACCTCAATGGAGGAGAAAAAATGATGTTCCACAGGACGGGAACATGGAATCATTCCTCTTTGGAGGTTGTTCTTGCAGCCTGGCACCCTTGCTCCAGGTTGCTCTTCACCTCTGCCTTGTGTGCGTTGTCCCCTGTTCTGTGACTGCCATCAGCTCAGGGGAAGGAGTTGTCACGGTCTGTTCATGAGACAGCGGTTTCTGATGTCACCCATAACTCATTCATGGCTTTCTCTGGAAGATCAGGGAACAGTCCAAGATCCACAGGAAACCCCCAAGTACCTGCACAGTACCTTCAGCTATGTGTATTCTTACTGAGGTGTGGGCATTGCTTGCACCCTCAGTCACAGTGAACACACTGTCATTTCCAAAGGAAAACAAGGGATTTTGATCCTCACACCATTCTGTGGGAGGAAGGAGGGGAGTTTCCTAAGGAGCTGGAGATGGAAGGAGGGAATTGCAGTCAGCAGCTGTTTATCCCAGGGCAGTGGCACATCACAAGGTGCTTGGCCAAGTGAGCACTGTGTGCCCTCGCTGCCGGCACGGCAGGAGCTGCTGAGCCGAACGGGAGAGCGGCTCCAGCCAGGGCTGTGCCAAGGAGCAGTGTGCTGCTCTCCACGTCGCTAAGGATTGGTCCAAGGACTTGGAGAAGAAAGGGAAAAAGCTCTCATGGGAGATGGTCTGTTTTAATGAGCCCAAACCTCTTCCACAAATTAAGTGAAATATTTTAAAAGGAAACAATATTACTTTGGTTTTATTTGTTTCAGCTACTTAGTTACAGCTCCACGTGGACACAATTAATGGAGGAAATAGAGTATTTTATAAGCCCAGGACTCTGAGATAGATATTTTGTGACCATGTGAAATTCTTTACCCTAATCACCACACATTCCTTGGGAGAAGGTTGTATATTGCTGAAGATTATTAACCTTGGTTCCAAAAATGTGTCTAGTCATTGAATGGCAAAGGTCAAAAAATTGTCGTGGCATTACTCAGTGACAAATTTTGGCCTCCACTTTTCATTAAAGTCCCTGCTGTCCCTCTCTGGCTCAGGTCTGTCCTAATTCTGTTCGAAGTATTCCCCAGCAAGAAGGAGAAAAATGACCTTTCCACTGGAGCTAGTTTTATTTCCCAGATCCCTTTCAGACTCCCCCTGGGACTTGATGTAAACCACTTGGACCTTCAGCACCTCTTTTCTCCGTGTTTCTTATTAATAGAAAGAATATGATTTCCCCTTTATATTTTCATGGCAATGATTCATCTTGTTTTGGTGGTATTTAACACCAGCCCCTCTGCTCTTTGCTGGCCAGAGAATAAAAACAGATTGAGGTAAAACATGGGGATGAATGTTGTTTAGATGAAGAGTTTCATTTTTGCTTTACTCTGCTTTCTTGACAATAGGCAACAACCAAGAAGTCACCCTTAGGAAAAAAAAGAATATTGTTTTTTGATTATTCTGGGGCTGTCTCAAACATCAGAGATGGAACCTCAAAAATACCAGGACTGAGTATCAGGAGTGAGTGTGGCAGCAAGGTGTGATTTCTGGATGGGCACAGCTGCTCAGTTCCTCACATGATACAGGTCTGTGTACCCCATTAATCAGCCAGATTCCACTTCTCCCAGACAGACCTGAATATTCTCCTTTCTGGCCTGCAGAGCAGTGCTGCTGAGCACATCTCACGGCAAAAGGCCCTACACGGAGGTAAACAACGCCTCGTTGGTTCAGTAATCTGTGCAGGTGTCCCAGCAGCAAAGCCCAGCAGTGGAGTAAATAAACAAACAACCCCACTGCCCCTTCCCCTCTGCCACAACAGTAAATTTGGTTTACTGTACACATCACTCTGGGCCGTGCAGAGATGGTGTGAATCCATTAGTAGGGCAAGGGTGAGTGACTTCTGACTTCAGCGACCCTTAAAGTTAATCCAGCATTGTAGGGGCAGAATTAAATGTGATGAGCTCAGAAAGTGTGATAAAACCAGATTTAAGTGCACAGCTGGGCAGCAACCTATAAAGGCAGAATTTAAAACTGTAATAAAAACTTTGTAATCTAATTACGACGGTAGAGTTAAAGGTGAGGTATTTGCAGCATGATTCACATGCACCATGGCTAACCTCTGACATCTTGAATATATTATGTGGTTTCTTCTCTACAGGAGTAATTTTTGAGCTACTCTCTCACACTACATGGCTCCCTGCGTTTTATTCTCGTGCACTGTCTTTGGAGGTTGCAGGACAGGTCAAAACTGCACATCAAAAAGCATGTTGCAAAGCAGCTGCTTTCCTGTACTTCTTGCTTGAGGTGTCTCAGGGCTGCTCCTCTCCCTGCTCTGGATGCTGAGCACCCGGGTACAAGGCAGGAGTTGGGGCAGGTGCACAACACTTCCAAAAAATTGCAGCTTCTAAGAGAGTCCAAGGAGAAACCACAGCAGGAGTAACCATGTCTCAAGCTGGTTTTAGCCTAATTCGTCTTAATACTAGCAGGAGGGAGGATGCAAAGCAGGTTATAGCTTGGATGCAGCATCCAATCCCAACCAACTCCTGCTGAAGCCCATGTCATCCTGTGTGCATTGCAGTTGGCACCTAATTAACACCACCTCTGATAGCAGTGATCTCTCTGATTTCAGTGCTGGCTTGTCCAAGCACCAAAGTGATGGGAAAAACCAGCCCATGAACCCTGACTCTCCTGGGCTGCTCGGCTTTCCTGGCTGGTGGGGTTGGGAGTGCTCTCACTGGGATGGACACTGTCAAGTGTGACAACAACCTTAGATACAAGTCTGACATCTTCCAGAAGGACCACAGAGGAGTTATACACTAAGCAGAGCTCTTTTTCCTGGGTCCCATTAGGTATTGTCCAACATCCCAAGATCCCTGCATGTATGGGGGGTGTAGTGGTGGGATCTAAACAAGTTTGCTCAGCTTGGTAACAGCTGGGTGGTTCTCTAGGAAAAGCAGCTGAAGAGATCTCCCTTCCTTCAGCCAACCTACGTCAAGACAGAAATTTCAATTAGAAATCTACCCCATGTGGTAGTTCTGATTTTTTTCTGCATTTCAGCAATTCAAAAAATGGAGCAGAAACATCAGACTTCTATATGAAGTCTGTAAACCTCTATTTGTTATTTTTTTGAACTGAAATAACTTGGTGGCATTTCTGAAATCAAATTGCATTTCATTTCCTTCCGTTTGAATTTAGCCAGAAAGCTTCCTTTTAAGTGTGATTGACACAAGGTATATACCTATGGCATAATGCTCATGGGAGGGGCTGAGGACAGCCTTGTTTGCGGAACCAGCATCCCAAAATAAACTACATCCTCCCTCAAAACAGTGTGTACCCAGCTGATCGGTCTCCACAAGTGTTGTTCTTAAACTGATGAAATATTTACATGCTTGTGAAATCAAACTGAAACAGATCTGTTGCTTAGGTTTTCCCAGGGGGTAATCCAGTAATATTTTTCCTCAAGGAAATTAATAATTGTTAAGATGCTGTGTTATAGAATACGTCTCTCTTTTATGAAGCTTGGAGGGGAACAGCAGAGCCATCAAGGACACCCTGCGATGTTCTCTCAGGGGAAGAGGAGGGTGTGAGAGCCATGGGCTAAAATGGGTGATGGATATCAGCAGTGGGTGGGAAGGAGGTGGGGGTGTTCTTGGAAAGGGATTGCTCAGAGTTTCCAAGGGGAGTTTGCCTTTGTGACCACGGGCCTCTCAGTACTGATATTTAGAGAGACAGAGATCTACTTTTTATTTTAGGGAGAAAAAATGTCATGTGCATGTATTGAGATGCCATATACACTTCTGCTATTGCTGAGGTAACTCCATCCCAAACTGTCCTCCTCTTCCTAGAGCTGAACAACAGCTGCACCAGGAGAAAACCCTGCACAGGAGACAAGAACTTCTGAAATGCCATCAGGGACTACCAGAAAGCAGCACAACAAACACCCCAAAACACAGGAAGGAGCTGCAGAAAGCCAGTGTGAGGATCAAAAGAATAACATCCCAGGTACAAACAGGGTGAGATCCCACAGAGCTCAGGCCAGCAGCCACCCACTGCGTGCTCTGGTGGGTTTAGAATCCCATCCTGTAGGGCAGCTCCCACATGCTCCAGCTGCCTGTACTGCAGGGAGAAGAGGGGAGCATTCAACACCCTGAGTCTGCAAGGCACAGACAGGAGGTGGTAAATACCTTGATAAGGAAACTGGAGTGAAAATACCAGCTTTAGGCAATCCAGATTTTATCAGGGAAGTATGCAGGAATGAGTAAGTACCTGACATGCAGATGTGCCTCTGTGCAGTGCCAGCAGCCTGCCAGTCCCCACATCTGGCCTCAGGCAACAGTCCCGTTTCCAAACTCATGTGATTTCGGGGGTACATTGGCAAGGTATTTTTGTATGGGATTCTGACTTTTGCAGTGGCAGTGCCCACAATGAATCTGCAGCTCTGTGCTTGGAAGAATCTCTAGATTTAGCACCGGGGGCTTGTTTTTCTGCTGTAAGAAGCTGCTTGGCTTCTCAGCAAAGGCTGTTGCTCTGCTTAGCGATGACATGCATGTCACAGCTTGGGAATCCATGTGTGCCAGTTGGAAAAAAGATCTTGGAATCCAGGGGCTTGGCAGAGTCATAAAGAAATGAATGTCATGTATTGCTCAGTGATTGGATGGCGTCTCATGGACCATTGCTCTGTCTGTCACTGGGAGACCTAGAGAGGGCTTTGTGCCTGGTCCTGTCTTATCTCTGCAAAGTGAATCACAGATTTGGTGAGAGTGGAGATGGAAGTGCTGTGAACTGGCACAGTGTCTGCATTCACACTTGAGAAGATATGGGAACGGTGGGGGAAGAACCTCAAGGAAGTGGTAACACCACCAAGCCTGTCAGAGTTCAAGGAGTGTCTGAACGATGCTCGTAGTCATATGGTTCAGTTTTAAGTAGTCCTGTGAGGAGCTGGAGAGTTGGACTTAATGAACCTTCTGGGTCCCACCCAACTTAAGATATTCTATGGTCTTACACAGACAGTTTGAAGAATGAATCTCTTACTCTAGCTCTGCACTCCAGTATAAGATGAAGGAGCTGCCTGTTGGCTATTCTCCCTTGTACTCTGGATCTCCAGGGAAGTCATTGCCTGAACTGTCATTAGCCAAGGTGGGAAATGCCTGTTCAGAGAGCTCTTGGACCTTGCTGTCTGGATTTGGCATTGATTCTTCACCAGGTTTACAACAGAAGAGAAGGCACAACCTGCCCTCTACTTGGGTGAGGAGGGGAGAGTAGGAAGAGCTTGGCAGCTCCAAGGGATGTCCTGGAAACCTGAACAAAGAGAGAGGAGAGTCCTTGCTGAGATGATAAGGGGTTGGGGCAGCACTCATTGCTATGCCATGCCAAGGGATTGGCTGCCATGGGGCACAGATGGTCTCTCTGGGGGTGGTGCTTAGTGTGGTTAATGACAACCATAAGTAGGAAAAATATGGATGCTATTGGAGAGAGAGGCCCAGGAATGGATAAAGAATAAATTGGCTGTGCTATGTACAGAGAGGGCCAAACAGATGTTGGGCCTGATCCAGAGCCCATTGAGTTAATGGAAAGGCTCCCTTTGGTTTCATTGGATGCTGTCTCAGACCCATTACAGCTTCACAGGAAGCAGTGGAGACCAAGAGTAATAACTTGTGGTGACTGGAGTGCTGTGTGTTGCATAGGTGTGGGCTGTGAGGTTTTTATGGTGAAAACAGATGGGTCTTACAGATCCATCCGTTTGGCCTGGGTAACCCCCTGCCCCGCTTCCCCCACCTGACAGTAAGCAGCGTCGTGTGGTTCTGGCCCTCTGGCCAACAGTTTGGCATGATTCTGCACAAAAGTGCCCTTCTGCCTTCTGATTCGCCCTCCTACTCAAGGAGATTCTAGTGTGATCTCGTAGTGGCCCAGGATTTAGAAACCAGTGGTTTGAGCCATCCACACAGGAGGAAGAAAGGTCTGCTGAGAACTGTTGACCAGGGAGGAATTTTGTTGTGGACCAGCAAGAAAATTAATGTAAAGCAGGTGTTTCTGCAATCGTGAGGCATTTGTAAAGCCAGCGGTGTCCAACAAGTCTCCCACTCACATTCCCATCCCCGTGACATGGCAGGGTCTGACGCGAAGGACCGCAAACAGAAAACATCTCTCTGTACCAGTTGGCGTCTGACCTGCGCTAGGGCCTCTCTCCCCTTCTGCTCCCCAGTGCTGTTCTGTTTATTTAGGTGTGTGTCTTTGTTTCTGTTTTTACACTTAGCACAAGTAGAGAGGAAATGGGATTTCATACGGCTTAGGAGGCTGGAGCTCGCCATGCTTTGCTTGTCCTCACGCCACAGGTACAGGTGTTCACAGGCCAGGTCCTCATGGTACAAACTGCCCCGGGCTCCAGGAGCTTCCTCCTTTTAGCTGGCCCATTTGAGGAGGCCTGTGATATCCAGAGATGCAGGCACAGGCCGTGCTCAGGCCAAGCTTCTCTCATGTTTAGAACTGAGAACTGGAAGCTGAGCATCATCCATTTTCTCCAGGTGATGGCATCGGGAGGAATGGATCAACCATTGCATGCCAAGATGCATCAACAACAGATGGTGTTTTGCTCAGGGTCATGGATTTTTTGGCAATGTAATCTGAGGAGTAGTTTAACTTAGTTGTATTTAGGCCAACTTGGGGAGGGACAAGGTAGTAAGTTATAAGGGTAAGGTCAAGGCTCTTCTCAGACTCTCTCTCCCTTTGCAGATATTCCCCTATCCACACGTGTACACACAACATCAGGGCCAGTCGTGGCTTGGGCTGAGCTGGATTTTAGGTACTTAACAGGTTTAATTCAGGACCCTACAACACCCAATCTCTAAAATATAATCTCTTGCCCTTATTAACAGCAGTGCACTTCTAGCCCTGTGTGAAAAGAGCTGATACTGGGAGAAGCTGCTGAACTTTCCAAGTGAGGTGAGGGTCAGTTTACGGTGGATGAACTGCCGGCAGGCAGGTTGGGTGGCAGCTTGGCAATCCCACCGGAACGCAGCTGGAGGAGAACGGCCGAGCCCTGACTTCCAGGCCTCATTTTAACCATGCTGGCTTGTTTACATTTGGGTGGTAGATGGGTGGAGCCGTTATTCCAATTTTTGGCTCGTATCCGTCCACTTGGATGTCAATGCAAACTGCTGCAATTATATCGTAATCCTGTCCCGCTATTGGAAATGATTAGTCCACTCATTTTCCATAAATATTGGCTGGCTGGCTTCACCTGGCAGTGGCTGGGAATTGTCATGAAAGAGAGATGAAAGCCCAGAGAATATTGGGATTCATAACTCCATCAGAGTTATGGTGTTTTCCAGGTGGCAAAATCTAACAAGACTATTGGATTTGGACATAGCCGGGACACTGGAGGAGGAGTGCTGGCTTTCAGACTGGGGTTCGGGCAGCAGTAGGGACAGCACAGGTATTTCAAAGCAAGGGCACTCTTGCTGTGCTATTTTACTCAGAAAGTGAATTTCTTATTAAAATAAGTCCCAGACTAGTGGGGGAACTTCTGTATTTCAGGGGAAAGTTCAAAAATATCCAGGCTTTATAATTAAGTAGCACTTCCCATTCCTACACCTCCACTATGGCAGCCCTTTCTCTTCCATGCCCACCAATTCCAGTGTGCAGAACCACATGTAAAATGGAGCCATGTATTAACTTCAAGGCTAGTTATTCTACAGATGAGCTCCAATTCCAAATAACACCGATGCCAACCAGGTTTTTTTCCCCCAGCACTTGGGCATCCAACACACTTTCCGCTTTTGGAGCTCATCATTCCGTAACTCCAGAAATTGCAATATAAACCTTGGCTACTATGCACACTTCAACTTGAAAACACAGCAGTGATCTGGGATTTTAATTCGAGCAAATTTGAGAGTGGATTAGAAATAGGATCCAGATGAATCTCTAATAGTAAAAAGAAAAATTAGCAGAACATTGGAGCAGAAATGAACTCTGTCTCTCTTTGAGCTTTTTTCCTCCCTTCTGCTTTACAAGAGGAATTACATAGACCTAAAGCACCATAATTAAATTGTCATTTGTTCCTTGCCTTGGTAGAAACTCTGCCCAGCTGAACACATCTCAGTTTCCATCCTGAGCATTTACCTACAGCACAGGGCTGGGGGAGGGGGGCGGTTTATTACTTGTTTTAAGAAATTAGAAATCAGAGGCATGCACAGTGTGTCTGGTAGAGTCTTCAGCGAGGGAGCTGCCAGGCTCTGCAGGTTATACATCATTAGCACACGGAGTGTCCAGGAGAGAGCCCAGAGCTTGTGCAGGTGTGTTGGCAAAGCTCACACCACTTCCCTCCCTCCTCCCTCTCCGTGGCACTTCCAGCAAGCTGATACTTGAAACTCCAGATCACGGAGAGCTCCTCTCGAGGCTGTCAGCTCCCAGCTCACCCAGCAGACGTGACTATGGGATGGCGCGTGGAACCTGGAAGGGACTCTCTGGAAAAACAAAACCATTGAGTCAAAAGCTTAGTGTGTTTTTCCATGATTGTATGAAAAAAACTTTGTGTGTGTTTTTTTAAGCACTTTCAGATATTAGAAGTTTAGTGAACACAGAGACAGCTGTTTTGGGGTTTTTTTTCCCCCCTCTTTTTCCCCTGCCCTTGAACTTTCGGAATGACTATAGGGAATATATCCAGGCTGTTTTCAATGACCCATTCACGTGGTGGGTTTATTTCAGCTTTTCCCAAAAGGGAGTGAGCTTCATTTGACCTCTGCTCTAGCATTAGCTGCCAGTATTTGTGCATCCTACTCAACTAATCAATAAAGTGGATGGCATCTGAAAATAATTATACACACAGCTCTTCCCCAGCTTCCAGAATGAAGACAGAAGCTGGGAAAGGAGCCTTTGCATATTCAGCACTTGTTAAAGGAATGAAATATAGAGCTGTGTGTTATTCGTGTTGAATCCCAAATCCTGGGCACTCAGCAGCAGTTCCTTTTGGCATTGTGTAGCACTCTGGCCACATACACCTGATCACAAAACTCATCAGCTTTCCCACCTTTGTCCTTTCTGCTCGTGTGGCATGCCAGAGGACAAGAACTGCCTTTGGGAGGAAGGATCAAGCTGGTTCAGTGCCCTCTCTTCTTTAGGGCACACCAGCACAGTTGCATTCTTACAACCAGATGTCCTGGTCCTGAGCTAATGTGTGGTGACAAGTGAGCGGCCAGTGCAAAGTGTGGTGTCTCTGTAGCATGGGATGAGTTTTTCCAGCCAAAATCATGTTAAAATGGCAAGGCTCTGTCTCTGTACGGCTCATGGCAAAGTCCCCTTTGCATGTCCATCAGGTTGTCACTGCCTACTGGAGAACCTGATTCAGGTTCTCCATCACCTGACAAAGTCCTACCAGCCAGGAAAGTGTGTGAGTCATCTTGTATTAGGAGCAGACATTTAATGTCTATTTTAGGAGGTTTGCAGCCTCAGCCTCCCTTCAGGCAATGGCCGCGATGAGCCGTTGGCGTGAACCTGAACATTCCCACTGCAGCACCAGGTGCCAGCATGGGGCCTGTGAACTGAGCAGGTGGTAGGAAAAGGAGAAGCACAGAGTTTGCCAGGACAAGCTGTAACTGCAGAGTAAGGCTTGGTCCTGTTACCCCTGCAGCTCTGGAAAGCTTTGTGCAGCACTGTCACAGTGGGGACTGGATCAGAGGGATGGTGGATGGTCTTCCCTCAGAGCCCGTTCCTGGTCTCCATTGAAGACAGGAAGAGAGGTGAGGTGGAGCAGTTGTATGACCCAGTGTGGCCATTCCCATGTGTTTCATTTATACTTTTGTCACTTGAACTGCAGAACCAGGAAGAATTCCATGGCTGTACAGCCTGGAAAATCCTGTGATGCCTGCAAAGAGCTGGACACTGAGGACATCCAGAGCTGCCTCCCCGGAAAGAGCTAAAGACACTAAACAACCTGCTGCTCCCAGTGGGTGTCCCAGGGCTGTTTCACATATCTGGACAGCAACAGTTACAGGGGAGCAATTATTTTGGGCCACTACTATGGGGTCTCTGCTATCTCCTGATCTAAGGCAGCAAGCAGGAGTGTTTGCTGATGGCCTGCTCCATTGTCCATCCCCAGCTTTTCTCCGTGGTGGTACACTGTTTGCAGTGCTCTTTAAATCCTCCTACCAGCCCCAACAATGCCTCCCACAACCCCGGCGTGTCAGGAGCTTCCAGGCCTCGGAAAAACCGATCCCGCTCAGCCCGGCTCTGTTTGTGGCAAAGTGTTTGCTTAGCGATTACCTCCTGCACGGACACACACAGCCACAAATCTCTAGGTTGTCTCACAGCCCTTTCATTCAATTAAGTCTGTTGACTTAGTCTCATTTTGAGCAGTAACTGGATTTAGATAAGGCAGTGGAAACCCAAACATCAATTGTGTGATTCCTGGCCCAGCTGGTATGTTGATCCGAAGGGAATGTTTGTGCGGGCGATAACTGAGGCAGTGCAGCGATTAGGACAAAGTCATTTGGTGCAAAGACTTCTGTGGACTAAAAATCCTCTGTGTTAGGTGCAAGCCCTGGCCAGAGGAAGCAAAGGGAGCTGCCTGACTCCACACACTCCCTCTTGGCCTCACTTATGTGTCGTGCTGTGAACAGCAGCTGGTGATGGAGAGGTCCTGGTCTGTCTGGAGGAGGAATCACAGTGGGCCTGGAGCTGGGAGATCCTACCAGGTGCTGGAGCCCAATTGCTAGAACCATAACTGCTGCTCTGAAGCCAGCAAAGCTCTTCAGGGTTGTAATCATTTGGGATTTTGCCAGTCAGCAACAGACCAAAGTTATTCTGGGATAGTTTCTCCCCACAAGCTCTAGGGCGTGAATTTACAGTCGGTTCCTCAGGGCCTTGATTTGCCCAACATCCCTGGGAAGAAGAGATGCAGGTGACACACCCTCAGCATTCACTCCTTAGAATACCGGTGGCCCAGGTGGAAAAACCCTCTCTAGTATAATAAATGTTGTCTCCCTTTGTAAGCAAGACAAAAGAAAGCTCTTCTATTTGCAAGCAAACATTTTTGTGATGCGCTCCTGTGTCTGCTACTGCTTTCACTTTGTAGTCAGAAAACGTATCAGGGAGACATAGATTGTTACATATTTGTCAAAAATGCATTTCAGTGCATGACTTGTTTGGTCATCTTGTTTTCCAGGTAATTGTTAAGCTAGTAAGGAACATTCCTGACATCCTTCAAATCTTCAGCAACGAGCATGGAAGAAGAGGAAAAGACAGCGACAAGACATTACTTCCTACATTAACTCATGATAAGGTACATCATTGGAAGATAGCAAATGTGTCACTGACTTTTCCTTTTTTCTCATACTAGGTGGGATTTCTTCCTTCGATTATCATTTGTTTTCTTCTCTGACATGAAATGTATGACACAGAGAGGTTGCTGTAGCCGGTTGCCATGTGAGAACTGCTGGTGGACAGTGAAAGAGGTCAAATATGTTGTGGGTGGTTTGCCATGATGGGCCACGTGCAGCGCCAGCACGGCTGCTCCTCTGAACAGCAGGGCTTCACCTCTGGAGGAAAAGGGAAAGTGTTACCTCAAAGGACTTTTCTTCCCAACTCCTCCCACCTGGTTGTTTCCCTTTTGGGCCATGCAGCGCTTGTTATGGAGGTGACACTGGCAGCAGTGTAAATGTGGTGTTTATCAAGTGCCCACGGGGTGGTGATGGGGATTCACCATCGTGTTTCACATCATCACTCAACCAGCCCAAGCAGTAATACACTGCCCTGTGCACTTACAGCCCTGCTCCTCAAGGGACCTTTCTCTCTGGAGCACACCAGTGGGAACAGTGTCTTGGAGCTCACTGACACTCAACATTCCATCAGTGGCTTGGACAGGGGGGTGTCTGTGGCTTCCTTGCCCCAGGACATTGCAGGAGTGGTGGAAGGGCCCCACACACTGCAGACTCCCAGCTGAACCCGGGGCAGCAGAGCTGTGCCCAGCACTGCCCCGGCACTGTGCAGCTCCTGGGACAGGAGCAGTGGCTGTGCTGTCTGTACACACACAAACACTTAACTGTTGGCACCTTAACATGTATTAAACGCTTCTGGTGGCGATGAAAGGTGGCATCCTCCCAGAGGTTTGCATACCTGTGAGCTAACACGGGCCTTTGTGTGAGCGTAGGTGGGGACTCTTCTAACAATACGAGGTTCATTAGCTCATCATCTTGGCTGTAGGACCATACTGATGTGCCCATCCTGCTTTCAGAGCCGTGAATAATCCAGCTTTGCTGCTGTCCTCTTACAAAGAAGGAGAGTGTAGTTTCAGGTACTGAAGCCTGTTTCTTCAGGCACAGGTGGTGAGTAGGGATTCACCAGTGTATTATTCACTGGTGTCGCTCTTGGCTTCAGGTCTCCTTCGGGCAGCCCTTGGTATCAGACATGATACCTATCAGAAATAATTGCTATTTTTCAGCCATCGATTGTAATAGCACCCTTGAAGATTAGGCTGGTGTGATTCACTGTCAGAGTGAGAGGACCATCAACAGAAGGCTGTGCTGCTCATGGTTCATGTAAATATCTGTTAACAGTCTGGATGGTGCAGCAGACTGGGCTCTTACAGTAGGTTAAACCAACAAAATAGTCTGGGAAACCCGAAATTTGGGAGGAGAATTGATTTTAAATGTTCTGAATGCACTTTAGAAATAGCCTTAGGTGAAAAAAGAGAGTGCTTAATTAAAATACACATAAGGAACCAGGTCAGAGTCCTGGCAATGTGGCAGGGGAGCTGGTAGAGGACAAACACCATTCTAAGTCTAGCGTGTGATGCTGTGGCCAGAAAGATACTTGTTATTAGAAGAGGTAACAAGAGCACTCTTTGCAAGGACGTCATTGTGGTGCTGGAGAGGCCCAGGCCTCAGATCTGCACTCCACACTTCAAATAGAGATGTAAACTCTGGAGGAAGTCTGGAGGAGAGCAACAGCACTGATAAGGGATTTCAAAAAGCATGACCTGTAAGGAATTTTTTTTTTAAATTGGATTGTTTAGTCTAGAAAAGACAGAGGAGAGCTATGAGACACTTGACACGTGAAGACAGTAGCTGAAAGGGGTGTGGTAAGAGAGTACAGTGATCACTGGGTCTGTTTGCATGGGGAAGGACAAGACCTACTTGGATTTATTTTCAGCAAAACAAAGGAGGTGAGAGTTTAGGAAAGTTCTTTCCATAAGGGGAGGGAGATGCTGGAAGTGATGACGCAGAGAGGCTTTGGATCTCCATCCCTGGGTGTTTTTAAGAGTTTAAACTAATGCACCGCATGAATGGCACAGGCACGGGCACAGAAAGGTGCAGGAGGGTCTCTCCATGTCTACCTGTGCTTGCTTAAATCAGTCCTGTGGGGTTTATTGCTTTGTTGGCATGTGGGACTCCAGCTTGGTGCCTAAAACGGAAAACACGCTGTTAGGTGGGTATGTTTGCACAGAAAATGTTGATAAGACAGGAAAAATGATATCGCTGTCAGAAACAACCGCCAGAAGTCTTAGAAGTTCTGCTTCAAAAAAGTGTATTTAAGGGAAGCAGGTCCTTTGGCAAAACGGTCTTTCGTTAAACAAAAGATTTAGATGGAAAGTTTTGCAATGAGCTCTGCAGATCAGGAGCCCAGCACAACCCCAGGATATCTGAAGTGTAATTACTGATCCTGCAAACAGTTCTCTTCCCCATTTGGGATTCAGCAGAGATAACACAAGACCTCTCTGTGCAGTGGGAAGGTGGGTAGAGAGACTGTCACGGAAGCCAGAGAGGAGCTTCACCTGCAGTGAAGCTGTGCAGGAATAAGGATCCAGAAAGACTTGTCGCAGTAACTTGCCAAACGAGGAGGGAAATGGTATCTGTCCCAGAGTCGAGGAAGGGCTGCGGTTCAGGGATGGGAGTCAGAAACCCAGCGCTCAGAAACTGCTGGTTCTCACAAAGCCTGCACTTATGTGTGTTCAGTCCAGGAAACTGGTTAGTGGGATGTGAAACTACCATATGTTTTTGCAGATGCTCCAAGTATGTGTGCTCCCCTTATGTATATATGCTTTAGACCCAGTTTGGAAAATGGGTCAAAGTCTTCCAGAGCTCCAGGAGGAAAACTCTTGAGAATTTACAGACCTGAGATGCTGCAATTAATGTTTCTGGACAGCAATTGCACTTTCCCCTGTTGAGGCTCGGAAAAACAGAGCAGAGTGCAAGAGGAGATCCACACCAAAGATCAAGGCAGACACATCTGCCTGGCTGTCAGATTCCATGCCAGCAAATTGGAAGAAAATTAAAAAATCCAAAGTCAGATCTGATCCTTGCTCTGGGAATGCAAAGAGGTCTGAAAGGCTCCTACATAGATATTTATACCTGGCATAAAACCACCACAGAAACTCCTGTGTTTCTCTGGTTTTGCCATCCCTTTAAGAGGACTATGTCAAGGGAATATGAATGAATGAGATTTTCTTGTTAAAATAGTCGTGAATTGGTGTCACTTCATTTAAGAGCAGAGTGCAGTGTGCAACCTCTGTCCACCACAGCTCAACAGCTGCCCTTCCAAACACTTCAAGTTGCAGGCTTACATCTTAAAGGAAGAGTCCTACAAGTGTGGGAGACAGGGGACCATAAACTCTCCAAAGAGTGGATTTTTGCCTCCAAAGTTCCAGGTAGATTTGTCCCCTGAGACACCATCCTTCTGCCAGGCACGGAGGGTGATCAGCCTTCATCATTGAGTTGCTCTTAGCTTTAATTTCCAGCACAAATAGCCCCAGACCCCTCTGGAGTGGGGGCAATATGACACTGCCAGATGATTACACATTGCCTCTTAATACAAAGCCAGTTAGTTGTGTTCATACTCCATTACTCAGTTCCAAATTACAAGCCTTATCTCAGGGGAAGCTTGGGATGGCTCTGTAGTTTCAGAAACCTCATGGTAAAAGGGCCATTTTTTAAATACAGTGTTTTCCAGAAAGACCATCTTAAAAATATAGTGCTGTTCAAATCCTCTGCTTCCTTTAATGCTATTTTCAGGTTGTTGGTTGTTTTTTTTCAAATTAGGTTTAGCAACACGCAGGAGATGTTAGATTAAAGGGACAAGGCTGGGGTTTTCCGTGTCTATACAGAAATAGCTGTTCCCTGGGTGGGCCAGGTGAAGTTGAGCAAAGTTATTGTTGCATGACTTCCCCCAGCTTTCTGGGTGGAGGAGACAGAGATGTGACTGGCTGCTTGCAGAAAAGTCTGGCCAAAAGCATTGGGCCACATCCTTTGTGGAGGTAAATCAACATCGTCTGAGTGGCGTTTCTGGAACCATGACTATTTTCATCAGGATCAGGCCTCTTCCATATGGTGAGGAAGTGGTAAAGATCACAAAGGGAGGGAAAGCTATCCATGCATGGCAATAATTGCAAAGATCTATGGGGTTTTCCTATGTAGGTGGTGTCATTTTCTCTAAAGAATTAAAGCGTGGCTTTCCCAGCGCGCTTCCCCTTTAAGGAGACACGCTGAGCAGCGATAAGACAACAAGCCCAGATGCCCAGAGGAAGAGCAGCGTTGTTGTGAAGACACAGCCCCAAAAGGCAAAATGTCTGGATTTTATTTGCAGCTCTGCCACAAACTTCCTGGATGATCGTGGCCAAGTCAAGCAGGTCCGTTTTCCAGCAGCGTCTGTGCCCTCGTGCATATGCATGAACGGTGCGTTCGCTCGGGGCTCTGCGCTGAGGTCCAACAAATGCAGAGCTGTGAAGAACCAGCCGCCCACACGCTGCCCTGCTTTCCCCAGGCGAAACAGGGTGAGCTGGGGAAGCCACTGGATCCCCGCCAGCAGGGATTCAGATCCACAAACAGGGGCTGTGCTGCTCCGGATCAAAGCCCACCTTGCCTGATGGCCCGTTGGAAGTGGGCGCCCGGGGAGGAAAACAAAGTCAGAGTGAGCAGAGCTGGACTTCCAGAGCTGGGAGTGGTTCGTGCGAACTTAGCAACCCTCAAAGGATTTCTAAACCTGGGAGCATGAGTAGTCCAGGACGAGGTCTCAGGGCACCTGGGGACTTTTGGCTTCCTTGGAGCAGGACTCACCTCTCCAGCTCTACGTCAGACTGGCTGGGTCACACAGGGCTTCTGTAGCTGCTACAAAGGACGGCCTTCCCATGGCTGTGTCAGCTCCCACGAGGAAGTGATGCTGCCTGCCAGGGAATTGAGGCTAAATGCACTGGTGTTTCCTCATGCCTTGGAAGGGAAGAGAAGTCTGGAGAGAATGATTGTTGTGACGTATAGGAGCTTTGCCAGTACAGTGCCCTGTAATAACAGCTAGTCTGCCTTCAGGTCATTAACTTACCCATTTTTTAGTACTCTTGCTCATGACAAATAGGTCTTGAGTTTAGAGATGCCCTCCTTCTCTTTCCTTTTTCCTGACTTCCTACGTATATTTTGGATATTTTCTTTTTTTTTTTTTTGTGGTGGTGTATCCAAATATCCCTGTTAAAGCATCGTCTTCCAGATCTCTCCTCCGTGGATCCATAAGGCTGTAACCAGATAACCAACACATTTTTTCTGCTCTGTCTCCATGGCTCAATGAGAACTAAAGCATGAGGAAAATACTCTCAGGGGCACTACAGGTGATAAAACTGGATTTAGAACAAAAAAGGTCTCTCTGCTCTCAGAGACAGTCTCACATCTGCTTTGTCCGTGCCCCGTGACCAAGCTACACCCTGAAAGCCACAGGGTTGAGTTAGAGGGGTGGTGGGTTGAGCTTTCAGCCCAGCTTGTGGTGGGGTTCCTACGCCTGGGCTCAGGATGGTGTGAACGTGGCTACACACCTTCCACCTGGAGATGGCTTTTGTCCAGTTGGCTGAGAAGGGGGCTGGAGTGACAGGCAGCTGTTTGTTGGCCAGTGTAGACATGCCCAAATTCTCCTGATGCACTACTGGAGGGTACTCAGATATTACAGAGATGAGGGCAGTCTGGGAACCTGTTTAGACCAGAATATGGGTTTCAGTGGCAGTTTTCTGGCTGATTAATTGGGTGACTTTGTGCAGGTCTCAACTTGCCGTTGCCCTATCCAATAAATGGGAATAGCAGCATTTGTCTTCCTTTGTAAAACACTTTGAGGTCTACGGATAATCCTCCTCCTTTTTCCCACCCATCATTATGGGACCGAGTGGAATCTTACGACACATTGAGTTTCTGTGGTCTGGCGTTTGCCAAGCATTTGAGAATGACTCTTTGGCTTGAGTTTGCAACGTCTGTGACTGCCACGTGATTTGTCATGGCAGCTCCTCGTTGAAATCAGGTCACCATTCCACTGGGAATGCCGGAGATGAGGAGAGAAGCTGCAGTGAGGAGTGTACAGACCCTGGGGCAGCCTGCGAGCAGTCGCCACACACATCATAATCCATCAATAACCTACCACACTCCGCGGTTCAGAGGTCTGCAGATATTTAAGAGTGGAAAACTCTATAAACAAGATTCCTCTGGACCACCGCGCTCTTTCTGGTGCCCTGGAAAGCAGTAGGCAGTGCTAGGGAAAGACATGGTCACTGGGCATTCAGAGGTGTTCCCACAACACAATGCACACCAGTTTGAATTCGAGGACCTTGTGCTGCTGTGGACAACTGATAGTTTAGGACGCAGCCTCTTCTTTCCCTGGATTGTCTTGAGAATCATAGAATCATGGAATGGTTTGGGCTGGAAGGGACCTTAAAGATCATCTAGTTCCAACCCGCCCTGCCATGGGCAGGGATGCCACCCACTAGGTCAGGTTGCTCAGGGCCCCATCCAACCTGGCATTGGCCAGGGATGTTTTCTCCTCCTAAGTCCATTCTGAGATTCATCCCTAGCAGGTACCAAAGGGATGTTACTGAGGTTGTGCTCTTTCTTACAATGACCTGAAAGAAAACCTAAATCACTGCAAGTAAACCTTTAGAAGTGACTTGGGAACTGAAGGGAGTGAATAGTTAAGAAATCAGGTCGCTGATGCACAGAGATCTTCCCAAAGAACATTGCAAGGCTGTAGGAGCCTTGAAGAGCCAGGAAATTAGCAGAGATCGGTATCAGGCAGCAATGAGCTTACAGGAGAGAGGTTTGAAGAGAGACTTGATCGCAATCTCCAAATACTCACAAGAGGAAGAGAAATGTGGAAATGAGGCAGATGTATCCAGAAATCTTATGGCTGAAACTTGAGGGTGAACATTTTTTCCTTTCTGTGATAGTGGGGAATGAAACAGGAGCCATGTCTGACTGCAGAGCAATGCTCCAAGGCTCCTCTCATAACTCCTGAAGTCCTCAGCTGGCTGGGGGCAGGTGTTTAGAAAAATAAGCTGTAGTTCCAAGAGGAATGAGCTGGAGGGTGTCTGGTGGCCTTTGCTGTGTAAGGGAGCAGATTAGGTGATCCTCCTGAGTCCTTCAGATCAGGAACCACTATTTTGGATTTCTTCAGCTACAGTAACAAAAAAGACAGCTCTGTCTTCTCTTCTTGTCAAGCACTGAGCAAGATCAGTGAGGGTAAAGCATTGGAGAGGGAATAAAACACCATTTGAGACTCAACTCCAAACACAGCATGAGCTGTTTGGGCCAGCTTGAGCTACCTCTTTTCTTGTCCTTGGCCTCCACTGTTTCATGACAGGATGACAACATCGGAATTCCCTGCTAGCATTTCTCCCTTTAAATCAGGAAAAAAAACCAACCAAGCAATAGACAAAGAGCCCATCAGTGATGCAAATAAAAGGCTGCAGTTTCCCAGAGCAGCACTTGGGGTCTGCTCCTTAGACCGGGGTGTGAGGGACTCAGCACCTGGCTGGGCTGGACCCAGTGGCTGTGTATTTCATGGGGCCCATCAGATACGGTGTGTCCGTACACAAGCCGTGTTTTACTTATAAAGTAAATTGCATTACATGGGCTATAATGTACATTTTCAAAGGGGACCCACCTTAAAAACATTTTGTTTAATAAAATAACTTAATTAGAAGAGAGCTTCTGGCTGATGTGGTTGAGGCTGTGATAATTTTTCCTTCTCAAATCATTTTCTCTGTTTATTATACTTAATTATAGTGTAATTATGTATTCATCCTCTAGGCAAATTATGCAATCAGAAAATGTGAGTGGTTCATTTGCCACTGCTGTTGGGACCAGAGTTTACATCCCTGCTATAAAATACGAGCATAATTTCTATTATTTATAGTATTACGTATATACATATATATAAAAGCTGTTTCACACAGAATGAAGAATTGGTGTAAATATTTTATTGGCACTCATTTTTGCATCATCCTCTCCATTCATTTGTGGCCTACTAATAATGAAACCATGCAAAGCCCAGATAGGTAAAATCTTTACACCCTACCAGGAATTTTCTCAAACACAAAACATACATGGCTGAGGAACGTGGAAGCTCCACAGCTGAGCTTTAATTTTGGAAGGAGGATTATTATTACTTTTAAGAGGGGTTTTTTTGCATTTTACTTCCTGATATTCTGCCCAGAATTTCTTAGCATAACAAGAGAGAAAGGAACCCCCTAGTATCCAGTTAGGGGCTGTGGGTTTGTGTTCATGTCATGGGTTCAGACTAACCTAATTTTAGCCATGTGCTTCATGTACTTTTTAGCCATGGCAGCCCTGACTTCTAAAGACTGGGCTGTTTTTTCTTCCTCTTGTTTTTCCTGATGGGAGTAGACAGATTGTGTTTGAACATACCGAAACATGAAGCCAAATCTTGAAAACCCTTCTGAGACGGATGTTTTCTCCTCCTTTGGCCAGCTCTGGGTGTGAATACAAACTGAATTCCCACTTGGCAGTTCCAGCTTCTCTGTGTGTGCTTCCTCTGCAGAGATGAAGCCACTTGCAGCAGCAGAGCTGGTGGGGCAGACGACGCCTGTCCTGGTGGAGCTCGGCCACCCGTGTGCCTTACAGCTGCTGAGGAGGTGAGCCATCCATGCACAATGACAAGCCTACCTCAGTGTCCCCTGGCCAGCCCCACAGCTGCTGCAAACCTGGGTAACTGTTGATCTAACCCACTTTTCCCTCGCTGAGGAGCTGGCCCTGCCCTTCGCTGTCCCTCAGCTGCCTGGTGCTCCCCACGAGTGCCTTGCAAACTTGCCTTTGCAGGAAATGAGAGGCCCCAGTGTGGTCTAGCTCCCACCCTGCTCCCTGCAGGCAGGACCGTATTCGTATGAAGAGCCCACTCTTCTCATCCACGTGGACAAAACTGAATTTTGCCACACCACAGCTGAAGGGACTCGCCTGGGGAGCAGTAGAGGGGTTGGTGGAGAGCTGGGGTGGCACAGCGGCATAGGGAGAGCCAGGAATGTGGGATCTGGGGAGGGAGGCAGTGGAAGAGCCAGCACTGTGGTCCCCCAGAGGGAGTTAGCCACCCAGGGAAGGAGAAAGAAGATGATTGCTGATCATCCTCGCCACTCCTGCAGCTGCCCCATGCAAACAGTGGCCTCAAACAGCCTTTCCCTCTCCCCACCCTCAAAACGCAACCACTGCCCCATCCCTCCCTCTCCCTGAGAGGAGAGCTGTCAGTTGTGGTCTCTGAGGGAAAGGCACTGCCCCAGCCAGCCTGGGATAAAGCTACAGAGTGGAGAATCAAAGCCCAGATCCAGGCAGATACTTTGTGGTAACCTAAGATCCAATGGAAATCTGGGGAGCTTTTTCAAAGGAGCCAGAGAATACTCCCAGGTAGGTGCTGTTGCTCCATCCTGACCTGCTGACCCACGGGGGAGGCTGCTGCTGTGTTCACACACACACAGGTGGGCCAAACCAGCCGAAACAGGGTGGAAATAGCCAAGCCACTGGTTCCCAGCGCTGGCTGCAAAGTCCTCACATACAGCAGGTAGGACGGGACGTGCCAACAGCCCCAAGCCTGCGAGCACGGAGCAGCTCCACGGAGAGCTGAAGGACCACAAGACCAGGAGCTGACTCAGAGCACAACAAGGAGGCATCTCCCCAGAGTGGGATGAGATGGGAGCAGTAGGTACGTAAGATGTTTTTGTTTTTTCCTGATGTTATCCCCATTTTCCCAGGTCCCAGCTTCAGACAGCCGTCTGCCACCCGCTTTGGCCAGACACTGAGACGCTGTGAGTTGGCTGGTGTTGCTGTCATGAGCAAAGGTGCAGTGCCATGGATTGTCTGGGCCGTGCCAGCCTGTTCCCGCAGTGATTTTGCATGGTGGGAAGTAGGTTGGGACTGGGCAAAGGGTGCTCCAGCTCTGGCCCGCTGCCAGAGGAGGATTTGTCCATTATAGTCTCACTTGCTCTTGGGGTGTGGCCTGAAAGGGAGCGTTGGAGCCGATATTTATTGGGGGTTTTCCACACTTTGTTATGAAACCCTTGGTTTTTCCATGCCTTGAATTTGGGACCAGATACCTTAGTAAAGAGTATTACAAGTGCCTGGCTCCAGGGGGATGCCTCCCACCTGTTGGTCTGTAAATGCTGTAGAAAGAATGGTGTATGTAACGGTATTTGAGCAGTAGTGCACTTTACCTTAGGTCAGGCAGCAGTCTCAAGGAAGGGCTTGGATCAGGAGTCAGACTGCCAAGTCCCTGAGCAGTGTGCCAGGCTGGAGCAGGGCTCCTCCATCCCTTCTATCCTTTCCTGGTTTTGTTCCCCCTTGCATTCCTAGGGAAAAATGAAAGAGAGGAAAATTAAATACAAATTATAAGCTCCAGCACCTTTGCTAGGGGAATCTGCAACCAAGTGCAAGTGGATGAGTTGGATTCAGTATTGGCCACTGATTCTTAAAGAACTACTTCTGCCAGAGGGAGCTGGTTCAGAAACCAGCCCAGGAGCTGATACCCCAGCTCTGAGTGAGAACAAGGGTCACCCTTCTCAATCCGAGACCTTAATCAGTTGAATTTCAGTTATCAAGAAGCCATAAGGGAAGCCTGGCCTATTTTTATACCCTGGAGCCCCCCTGGAAGCACCAGCCCCAGCAATGTGGTGCAGCACTGCTCCAGCACACGCTGAGCCTCACACGGTGCCGGGGCAGCATTGCACCCATATCTGAACTGTCGGGAGCTAAAGGCAGCAGAAGGAGCTTTCCTTTCACACCTTCAGTTTCCATGTCGACATGCCAGAATGACATGAGGCAGCAGATGGATGCAGACCAGGAAGAATATTTGGACATATTAGGCAATGGGGATCGGGTCCCTTTAGCTCACACATCTCCAGCTGAGAGATCACGAGGCAGCGGCCGCAGCTGCAAAGGACCAAACCGAAAGTGAGAAGTAAAATGGGCTTTACCCAGGTTTATTGAACATTTTTTAAGCCACCACCTCCTGTCCCAGTCTGCAAAACCTAAACCCTGCCCTTATAAATTGCTAACAGAATTACCTAATTCCAATTGGGTTTGCAACCTTTCTGCTCCCTCCCTGAGCTGATACCCTTTCCTTCTGGGGAGAGGTGGAACAACAGACACTCAGATAAAATCCTATGTCACTACTCTTTTTAGTCAGCTGTGCTTCCCAAATGCTCTGGTATCTCCAGTCCCCTCTACTGTGTCTATGGAACTGTTACTTTGCATAATAGAAAGGATCAACGCTCCAACCATCTGGAAGGCACACCATATATAATTTAGGTGCTTCACTTGCTCTCCCATTAGTAACAGGAATGTGGCTTCCTTCTCATTTCCCTTGATCTCTTAGCCCTGTGCTAGAGAGGTCAGGTTAGAGGCAGCCATGGGGGAGTGAACTGTACCCTGAACTGGGTTTCAGAGTTTTGAAGGAAGTCTCTGCTTCACAACCAGGTCATTTCCCAATTCAGTGTGTGCAAAGGGATAAAGAACTCAGTAAATCCCAGTTGAGAGAGAACAGTGGGTGTCATCATATATGCAAATGGCCCATTCACCTCCCAGGGGAACCTGGATCCCCTTCAGCAAAGCCTGGAGACAGGGATCACATTGGCTGGGCATTGTGCTCTGGAGAATCACTGCCAAAGGTCAGTGTCTGCAGCCAGCTAAGCAGCCCCACACGTGCATCCAATGGGATGATCCTGAGGGAGGTGGCTGAGCTCACTCACATCCAGCATGGAGAGAGCTGCTGGGGGAGGGCACAGGAGCTCTGTCATCCCTGAGTGACCCCTCATCTTGAGGACCAAGCCACCTTTCCATCCCCATTGCTGCTTCTCTTAGAAACCAGGGAAACTACCATTTGCTGCTATTCCTTTATGTCCAGAGGAGTATCTTGTGTCCATCCAGACCTGTACTCCTGTTTATCTGCTCTTGGTGAGCATAGACATATGGTTAAGGCCTTGATGCTGAAGTTTATGACTTAAATCAATGGGATTATTCATGAGTGGAGAGATAACCATGTGCTTTTATGCTTGGCTGGAGTGGCGTCTCAAGCTCCCAGCTGGGAATCAAAGCTCTGAGTCACCAGGTCCCTCCTCTCCTTCCTGTGTGACCAGTCTCCCTGTGTCTGCTTCCTTGCCTGCCGCATAAGGAGGATGACAATGGCTTTTATCTGATGGTTACTTTCAAATGGCCCTAAAGGCCTCTTCTGGTCTGATGAAAATTCAGTAGAAGCTGGACTAGCATGGAAAGACAGGAGGACATTTAACTAATGAAAGCACTGGAACTCGGGAAGGCAATTACATCCTTTCTTCTGCCCCACATTCCCACACAGGCTACTCGGCCATGGCTGCAAAATCTTTCAGGCCAGAGAGGAGTGGGAGGCCACGAAAAGGCTGAGACAAGGGGAAAGGTAGTGGTTGGGGTGACCAGCACAGCAGGTTCCCAGCAGTAGTCGCACCTTAAAAGAGCCCCCTTTCAGTTAAAAACTGAGACCTCGATTCTGCAAGTCTCTGCGTCACATATGGGCTTTGTAAAACAAAAACTAGAGAGAAAGAAAGATACATGGGCCAACTGCATATATTTTATGCCCCAATATACACTAAGTCCCCAGAGAAGTGGGGCTTCCCATATTTGGCATGTACCCCTCTGAATAAAAGATGATCTTAAATAGAGACTCCATCAATTCTTCTCCTGGTGACCGGTGCCTTTGCCTGGTCAAATTGTCCCTTTGCCACCATTCCTGGAAGAAGAAGTTGCTCTTTCAGCCCCGCTTCAATGCACCCATGTTTTTGGGGGAAGCTGGCCTTGGGATGCCTGTAAGATGGGCTATTCTGCACCTCCCTGTTGCTTAGCAAGTCAAATAGGGTTGTGTGAGAAACCCTGTGCAGCTACAGCTGCTGTGTCCATGAGAATGTGCAGGCTGAAACCCTGCAGAGGAGCTGTGGGCGTCCTCCCAGCTGCCCCGTGCTTTTGCAGGCATTTGTAAATACAACTGCTCTCACTTTCCATTGATAGACATCAAAAAGCAATTAAGAATCAAGCTCTTCAAATTGATAGGTCTCCTGAATTTGAAACATTTTTCATTCTTTGGCCGGTATCACTGCCTAGATTAGATTATTTTTTTAAAGGGAAGATTAAAATAAACAGTATTTATGGTTTAATTATTTGAATGACTAAGAAGCTCCAGCTTTATTTTAACTTCACAGAGGACCGGGAGATGTTTTTAATGATATGTTTTACTCACACAGGATCTTTCATCCAAGGATCTCAAACTGCTTTTCAAATAATTAATTAATCCTTGTACCTTTCCATGAGACAGTTATTATCTCTGATATTCCTGATGGGTAAACAAAGGCACAAAGACGTCAAGGCACAAAGTGCTTTCCAAATATTAATTAACTAATTCTCACACCACTGCATGAGACTGTTACTATCTCTGCCATTACCAAGGGTAAATTGAGGCACAAATATGCAAGTAAATCCCCTGAGGCCATGCAGGTGAGTCAGGAGCAGAGCTGAGAATAGTGTATGACCAGTCCCTTGGCTAATTGTTTCCAGCAAGTCCTCCACCATATTCCTGACAATGGGCAGCTCATTCCCCTAAGTGAAGCACAGCTGAAACCCTTTGTCGTCATCCCTTGGGGATCATGTTTGCCCACGTCAGTCTGCAGCTTCTTTTGAACTTGCCCTGCCTGGAGGAAGCCAATGGAGCTGTGATGAGGAAGGGTTGGTTTGAAGGTTTTGGGGAGCTTTGAGATGCTCTGGTGCTGGGGGCTGTCCAGCAGCCACAGTTTCTTAGAGTTCATCCCTGTACCCATATTTTTAATGGTCCATGCAAGAGAATGTAGGGAAAGGTGGGGACCCTGCAGGCCAGGGCCCCTCAGCGGCCAAACCCACCTTGCCCCTTGCACAGGGGCAGCTCAGGCCCAGCGTGGATTTATTTTCTGTCCTCCCCAGGAGGAAGAGGGAAAGGCAGGAAGCTGAAGGCTCTCTCTGCCTTCAGGAAGGGTCCAGCTGGAGGGATTCTCTGCACAGGCACCTGAACCCTCACCAGGAGCACATCCCAGCTGAGCTATTTCAAACATGGGCTTGGCCTCATCAAATGCAGTCTCATTTCCACATGAAAGGGCTGGAGGAATATGAAGCCAGCTCATCTGTATTGATAAGAATTTGGCATTACTTTCCCCCAGTTATCTCAGTTTTCTGTGTACATTAATCACAATACAAAAAACAGGAGTGAGGAGGGAGGGATGGATCTTCTCAGCTGTCTTTCTGGGAGTGGGTTTTTTATGGGGTTGAATTTTTTTCCTAAACATCCTTTTTTCCAGTTTCACTCTGCTGGAGTCTGATTGCTCCCTCCCCTCTGCAATTTGGATGCCTCACTCTGCTTGCTGCAGCTCTGATGCAAGCGCTCCACTGCCGTGTTTGCCAAACCTGAGCTCGTCTAGACACAGTCTAACTGTAGCACTAATGTTAGGGTTCAACAGACTGATCTCAGCTTTGTCATAGCTCTGCCCACGGTCAGCACTTTGATCTTTATCCTTGAAAACCACAGCCATTGACAAAGGTAAAATGAATTTCTGACTTTGAAAGACTTTGATGGCATTCCCTTGTTTTGGTTTGTGTTTTGTTTTTTTCTCCTCTCCTTTGCTCTTCCAGCTGAACTTCATCACACAGCTTCTGATTACAGCTGCAGCTCCAGGACCAGAGAGAGGTCATGCTGTCTTGCTTTCTGCTGTTTTAAAATCAGAATGGAAAACCATGGGACACTTTTGGGGCAGACTGTGAGTGTAATACCAATTGTCACAGGAATTGGAGATAGAGAGAGGGCCCTCAGGATTTGGTCTTGTACCTTCTTTAAAAAAAAACCACCAAACCAAAATCATCATGAATGGGGCCAAGTGCCAATAGCAGGAGAGAGTGAGAACTATTTGGTGTTAGATTTCTAACTGGAAATCTGCAGCCTGCCAAGTCCTACTGTTTGCCTTCATGTAGTATGAGAGGTTGAGCTGAGACAAGGAGACAAGGGCCTTCCAGTAGACATTGCACTGACACCTTGTGAGGGATTGCCCTGCCTGGAGGAGTTCACCTTTTAAATAAACATGAGGCGCAAATCGAGTGCTACAGCTCCATCTTCCAGATGGGAAGTGAAGGCAAGGAGCACCTCGTCCAGGTCACACAGGGCACCTGAATTCATTTCAGGGCTCCAGGTTGCCTTCATCTGTAAAAGTCTTCCAAGGACTGGGAGTGAAATCCAGGTTCTCTGAAGGCAATGGGATTTTTGCCCCAGATTGCCAGGGGGGGAAAGCTTTTTCTCCAAGCACCTGCCCGGAGGTGTCCAGAGGCCTTTAGCAATGGCAGTGATTCTGGTAGCACCAACGGCGATGGCCAACCCTGAATGTCCCAGAGTGGCTTTTGGGGTGTCCAGCTCCTGGCTAGGAGAGGCCACTGGTCAAAATGGGCCTTGTTAAACAGCCAAGCAGAAAACAAATCTGCTCTCAAGGTGGCTCAAAGCTGGAGCTGACTGAACATTTTCCTGTTGTATATAAATATCACATATGCACACATGCATAGTTGCTGAGGAAAACTTTATATATAGGTAGTGTGTCTGTTTTAGATAGAAAGATGGATACATTTCATGTGTATTAACTCACATAGCTATATATTCCTAACATCCAAAACATTGTCTTTTCCTGGTTTTTCCAAACACTTCACCAGCTGATTCACAGATGCCAAATGTTGACACAATATGTTAAATAGAAATGTTGACAGTTTCCCATGGAGAGTTTTCTGCAGTCCTGGAGAAGCTCTACTCAACATTTCTTTTGAGATTTGAAGGAATTTGATTAACATTTTGCTGTTGCCCATTCCTGACTACTCTGAGTTGAGCTGGGACCGGAGGAGCACTTGATGAGTAAGGCTCTTCTGTTATTTACAGCCTCGTTGAAACGATGAAGTAGCAGGAATCTCCTTGGAGAGCAATGGATCACAGCACTTGTCAAGATGATTTCCAAATCAAAGATGAATTCCAAGGAGCAGCAAGGGTATAATTTTAGAGCCCATCGAGCCAATGGCAAAAATCCCAATTTTTGCACAATATTCTTAATGGAGTCTCTGAAATTTTGGAGCTTCATATATTATATATTATATACTATATTATATTGTGGCTAAGAGGTCCTGTCCAAATTCAGCATCTGTGTGCCTTACAGAGGAATGACCCTAAAAAGGAGTGATGAAAAAGGTCAGTCTAGTTTAAAAACAAATACCGTGTTTATAACGAGACCGAAGGGACAATGAAGAATTCAGTACTCGATACTGACACCTGCCACTTGCAAAATATCCCCACCACTAGGAACAAATATTTTGTGAGAGTTTGGAAAATTCTGGTCACTCATTTTTTCCTCTTTTGTTTCCATTTCAGTCGCTGTGCAATAACAGCACTGACGTTGCTAAATGTCACGAAGTGAAGCTGATGAAGTCGCTTCATGTGCTTGTTCCAGGTGAGATGGCAACAGGAGCAGTTATAATTCTTACCCAAACAAAACAAGACAAAAGAAGTATTTGCTAATGTTTTTGGATATAGTTGTTAGGTCCCAGGAGCAGAGATTAGTCAGAGTACCCATAAATATCACTGTCACTGAACTCTGATTTCCAAAGTCTTTGCTCCCAAATAGCAAATTAAAACCCAGCCGAGCTCTCGCCACTGGACTATGGACTCCTACTGGGATTTGCCCAGTTCTTGGTCCCCATCAGTGCAATTGGGAGAGCAAGGAGGGGAAGCCAGGGGCACATCCCATACAGTGGATGTCCAGGTAGGAAAATGCCCCCCTTGTAAATCATATGGCACAGGTGACCCCTCGAGCTTCATTCCTGATGTCACAGCTTCCAGTCACATCATTCGGGAGGGATCAGCCTGTCAAGCTAGACACAGTCTTGGTCTCAGTAAATATGGCAGTTCTGGCACTGTCATTTAAAAAAAATCCAGTTTCCCAGAGAAAAGCTCAGACAACAGAACCAATCCAAGGTATTTATCACTTTACACTGTGCTAATGCAAACAAAAACATCACACACTTCAATAAATCCATTGCTGAGTCTCACCAGAACAAACTGACATTCCCACGTGACCAGTTCCAAGCTAGAAGGGTTTGGGTTGGGTTTTGCTAGTAATATTCTTTTGTAATGGAGAAGGCATTTTTCAATTGAATGAAAATTTTTGCCTCCAAAAATGTCCACTTTCACTGAGAGATGTAGAGGTTTCAATAAGAAAAAACTAAGACCAGTAATTCAGTGATTACCTGAGTGAGAGATTTCTTCTCCCCATCACCTCAAAAAAATCAAAAAGTAAAATATTAAGTGAAGGAACCAAATCCATCCATGCCATCAACATTTTTCATGGGGGAGAGTTCCTGGCTACTTCCATCATTCACTTTGCAATTATGGTGTATTTAGAGCCAACCTGTTTAACCTCAAAATTAGCTCAGCTGAGCTGGAAATGCCAACCTCAGTTCTCTTAGACATATATGAGAGGACTGAGTGCAGTCAGATACAAGCTGGGCCAACCAGGAGAAAGTCCACTGGGTTTGCAGAGGCAAACAGAGCTCAGCATTTTGGGGTGGACAAAAAGCCTGGCTGAATGGCACCATTGAAGCCTCAAAGGAGAGCCCAAGTGCCAGCCAGCACAAGGAGATAAGGAGCACCCTGGGAGAAGGGTACAAAGGTAGCACTGATGAGCAGGGCTTGGCTTTGCTCCCACAGAGGTCACAGCTGGGTCCTCTATTAAAATTTTTCTCAACACAGCAGTATTGAGAATTATACCAAGCTACTGGCTAGTAATGCCTCCCTCCCACAGACCTTTCAGAAAATATAAGTCTTTGACAGTCCTGGCATAAGCAAAGACGGTCAAAGGCTCTGTTATCTTCTTTTATAAACTGGAGAATTTGGCTGTGAGGAGACAAAGGTCCCTGTCCTGAAAAGCATCACAGGAATCACTCTTGTGAGTAAAGTGGTACCTTTGCCTGAGCAGATCTCTGAAGGTGCATCCTGGGCTTAGAAACAAGAGCCTTCATCTTGAAATACAAGTGAACAGTAAAAATGTGTCCATTCTGAATTTTTAAAAATTATCTATTCTTCTTAAGGGATAAACTCTTTGTTTCTATTCCATTACCAGTGTCCCTTTGGAGCTGGAGTTCCTGTGTGCACAGGCATCATCCAGGTTCATCAGACAGCCAAATCTTCAGCGTGGCAAAGTTGTTCCCAGTCATTTCTCTGTTTATTTTCAATTTCCCATCCTATCGGCTCGAACTAAGGTGGGAGGAGGTAAAGCAACTAGAAGGGGCAGTTTTTAAGGTTTCAACTGAGTAGAAGGTAAGAAAATATAATAAATTTTATTTCATGCCTTCTTGCCAATTGTTAGAAATGTGCAGTCCATATGAATTCATATAACAAGGAGGGAATGTTGGGAAAACCAATAAAGATTTTGTGGTCTTAACTATAATGAATGTAGTTTGATATAGAGTCTGTTTTTCACTGCATGGCAAAATGAATCATAAAATACTGGACCTTGAAACTCCTGCATTTTTTAACAATAGCCTGGGGACAGTTTACAGTGTAATGAATTGTAATTAACCCACCTTCAAAATCTTTTATGAGTATTTTGCCAATTAGCTTCGCATGCTTGCTAATGACTCATGGCCAGCGCATGTCTTTGCAGAGCCGGGTTTTACAGAGCAGGGTTTTACAGCGCACGCCGGCCTGTTCAGTCAGCGCAGGGACGCAGGACGGGGAGGCAGGCACAGGTAAGACCCAGCCAGCCCCAGCAACCTACATATTTCAACACTCCCAGAGCCTTTGCTGCTCCCTCAGACCCAAAATAACTGCAATAATGTATAGCGACGTCAAAAGGCTTTGGTTTCCCAAGGATTGCGAGGAATGCAAAGGGCTCAAGTCCTGACATCTGTTGTTACTTAGTACTAACATATATAATGCTGCTAATTGCTGAGCCATCTTTGTTTTCCTTACTTAGCACTAGGGTTAGAATTATTTTATTTTTGTGGTTCATGGCTTCCTGCCACTTGCAACACAAAGTCCACTCTAAAGAAAATAAAACAACTACCAAGGCTGACTACTAACAGTGTGTGGAGGGCTGGGGTGGTTTCTTCCCCCTCTCCTGTTTTAAGCTGTGTTTTTGTTGGGTTTTATTTTAATTAAGGTAAGAAAAGACAGCAGAGGTGGGACCTGAGCGGTGTCACACCAAAAGGCCACATGGGCCAGTATCCCATCTCCCATTATCCCATCTCCCAGTATCCCATCTCCCAGCATAGCCAGGAGGCGATGCAGGAGGAGGAAACTCCTGGAGGAGGCTCAGCAATCCCTCCCCTGCTGTACCCTCCTCGCTCCAGGCAATCCGCGGTTTATGGACTTCCCAAAGCAGAGGCTGCCTCCAGACCAGTGTGTTTTAACAGCCACCCATGGATCTATCCTCCTCAAATGTTTTTGATCCCTTTCTCAAGCCATTTATAACTTTTGGCCTCCGCAACATCCTGTGGCAATGAGTTCCACAATTTAATTATGCTTTGTATGAAAAAGTACTTCCTTCTGTTGGTTTAAACCTCCTTGTGTGACAGCACCACCAGGTCCCCTCTAATTCTTAGGAGAAGCAGTGAACAGCCAGTTCCTATTCGATTTTTTTCTGTGTCAGTCATGACCTGAAAGGCCTTTACTGAACCTCCTGCTTCTGTCAGCCCTTTCTACCTTGAAGGCTCCTCATCTGCTTGTTTTTCCATCTTTGTTGAAGCTGTTGCCCATCTCTCCTCATCCTGAATGCTTTCCTTCCTGTGCTTTCCAGTTCAGCTCAGCTCTTCTGGAGTTGGATGGCGAGGAAACACACTAGCATGGAGCTGCAGTTTCACTGAGCAGTGCTGTAACGATGTTTTCTGATTTGTTCCTGTCTCTTTGCCAACTCATTCCTAACGTGATAGTTACCTCTTCTGATGGACTTTAAATGATATTTGCAGAGGCCTCCCAGCTCTCTTTGCTAAGTGTTATTTTTAGGGCTTGTCTGTGTTGAGGTACAGCGAGGGTGAGTTCTCTGCACGTGCTCTGCCTCTGTTGACACTGCACTGCATCAGCCATTTTACTGCAGTGCTTTGTGGCCACATTTGCATCATCTGCAAAATTTCTCATCTCACTATTCATCCTTTTTACTGGAATGTTTATTAATATGAACACTATCAAATGAGTATTTCAGCAACTCAGTTCTAAGTAACACACAAAACCTTCTCTCACACAAAGATGTGTGGCAGACCCCACCCCAAGGCCTTGAGGGGACCCACGGTAGTGAACCTTCAGAGCTTTATACCCACCATCCAAAAAGACAGCTTTTAACTCCTTGTAACTTCAGGAACAACTTTCTTCTCTCACCTCTTATCACGAAGCCTCGTTGCAGACAGTTTTTAGGCATTTGTGTTTATTGGCACGACTCTACAGACTCCTCTGAGCACATTATCAGTATTGAGTGGGTAAGTTGGAGAAATCAGTGATAAGAGGACCCATCTGGTGTGTCAAGTATTTCATTCCACAGCCAGGGATATGTCATTTGTCGGCTTATTATTTTTAATAACTATCAGTCTGTCCCCGCTGGTCGTGGTTTCTCCGTAATCCATGCAGACCGTGAAACACAGGGACCTCAGGCTGGTAGGAAAGACTTGGCTACAACAGCGCCTTTGGTTGCCAGGTACAGAATCACTTCTGTTTACAGGTGAGCTGCACACCTTCTGTACTGAATTCTTGCAGTTCATCAGCAAAACCCCACAGAATCTGTCCTTAATGCCCTATGGCAAGAGACCTCAGCATCCCGAATTGGCTTGGTGTGGGCAATACCTGCTGCTGCTCCCAGCTGCCCTCCTCTTGGGGAATTCGCAGCTACACCAAGACCTCAGTTCCTCAGGAATGGCCTGTTTGCACTTGCCAGCTGAAGAGATTTCCTCTTTGCCACACCATGGTACAGGTCCCGGAGGATGAGCCCTCACGGCAGTGTGAGATCCCAAGGGGCAGTTAGCATTGGCAAGCCATTTCCTTGTTTCACAAAACACCACCACTTCTCTGCTGTCCTGGATCGTTCTCACTCCCCCGTCAGTCAGGTGTCCCCATGGAATGGCAGGAAGGGCCAAACCTGTGATAAACTTAACCTGGCACTCCACTTGTGCCTCATCCTGGAAAGCCCTGTGTTTGGGAAGCATCCCTGAGCACTGTGACTCAGGTCTCCCCTGGCTCTGTTGTGGTGCAGGACCTGCCACATGAAGTTATCATGAGTTTCTGAGCGTTACCCCTCTGGGTGTTGTTCCATGCACCACTTTGCACCTGGAAAACCTGTTTGCTGGACATGCAGATAATCCACTGCAGAAAACTGTGTCACAAACATGAGAGCCCGGTGCTTGTAGAGATCCTAATTGGAAGGGGAGCCAAGCTTTGCTGCTGGAATTATACACTTCCTGAGCAGCATGTTTGGACCACAACTTTTTCCAAAGAAAAACTGCAACATCTACAGATTTCCCAACCACACTGATCCTGCTGCACTGACCTCAATTGCAATCGCAAATCTTCAACCTGTTTTTTTCTCTTCTTAATTCAGTGGGAGCTTTGCCTGTGCTGTGCAGGGCTGGACCATCTGTGTACGTCCAGGTCATGGAAAAATATTATTTCTGTACCAGAAGAGATCAGTGTGTCCCCAGTGCAGAGTGCATTTACAGTCCTACGCTTCTACACGTCGTGTGGACTTTTCCTCACTGGGGCTCTAATGCTGAATCAGTTCAGTCAGTGGGAATGGTGGCATTAAATTCACTCAGAACGGGATTATATGTGTTATTTTAGCCAATCTAACGTGTCACAAAAATGTGTTGAATTATTTTCTTTTTTTAGAGAAAAATAAAACATATGTTGAGATAATCAGTGGGAATCATTGGAGAGTTGCAAGCATGGAAATATATACATATTTGAAGTTACAGCACAGTTTTCTTGGGTGTTTTTTTTTTTTCCCTGCTACACTGTGTGGACAAATAATTTGGATGTTGATCACTCGGGTGCTTGTAATCTGAAATCCTGTCACCCCTGTTGTAAACAGAAGTGCAGGAGAGAACATTTCCTTGCAGTCCCACCCAGCTGGGGTGTTTCACTGCAAGCAACACCATCGCCTGTAACTCAGCAGAGCATGTGTGGGGGGGGGTTGTGCATTGAAATTATTGCTCTTCTGCCAAAGAGCTAAGGCAGCACTAGTTCTTCTTTACTTTTTTTCCTTCTCATTGACACCAAAGTATAAAAGCCAGCAGTGTTCCTGCACTGCAGTAGGAACTGCACGTGTGACACCAGCACACTGCCATGCTTGGAGCTGTTATTGCTGTGCACACAAAGGGAGGTCTAACGTGTCTGGATGGGACGTGATGGAGGTGCAAAGGAATTCCAGACTAGCCAGCTGTATTTTCCCAGCAGATCCATTCTGCTGCTGTGCCTGCCTTTCATGAGCTGGACAGTGATCTGAGGGCTGAAGCCAATCCAGGTGTACTGAAGGTGAGCTAATGCTTACATCCTGTCACAGAACCATTTAGGTTGGAAAAGACCTCTGACATCAGCAGGTCCAACCTTTGATTCATCACCCCCTTGTCAACTAGAGTATGGCATTAAGTGTCACATCCAGTCATTTCTGGACCACCTCCAGGGACAGGGACTCCACCACCTCCCTGGGCAGTCTGTTCTGGTGTTTAACAGCATTTCCATGAAATTCCTCCTGATGTCCAGCCTGAACCTATCAAAACTCTCAGGGCAGATGCAATCCTATCACTGATTAGCATCTCTCTTTTTTATCTTCTTTAGCACTTAGCTTCTAAAACTTTGTGGAAATTCAAAAGGCTGAAGTGGCTGCTGCACCCTGGAGTAAAATGCTGTCCATTTTACAAGGGGCCAATTCATGCATTTGTCTGTAAATTCCACAGTGGCTCTTTGTTTAAATGCTTGCTCCTTATTTAGGATTATTCACTAAGGTCTTTTATTCTTGACATCACCCACAGTTTTAAAAAAACCCTTTCTCCGTGTCGACAAGCCGTGTATGAAGCAGCTCCTTAAGCCGGGGCAGCTCAGTGGCTTCCCTTGGATCCGTAACACCGAACTAAGGACAGATTTTTTGGGGAGGTCTTTGTGGTTACCTGCATTATCTTGGTCTAAGCATTCATTTATTAGGCAGAGACAGATTTTTATATTTCTTAGTAATGTAACCCAACGTTGCAGTAATTTTCAGAAGCCATGGGGTCTCTTCTCCAGAAGAGCCAGGACTTCACCACTTGACACCAGCTGAAGAACCAGCTCTCAGCATTCAATACATTAGGGGGGAAAGAAAAAAGTAGCAAAACAAAGCACCATACTCTAAGTTATAGAACTACCAACCAACCAGAGACTTGTGCCAACTTGGAAACGAGATATGAACTAGAGTGTTTCTATTTTCGCGTTAAAATGGAAACAGGTGGGAAGGACGCGTGGAATTTATCAAGCCAGAGAAATACTTTTTTTCATGTTAAAATTTGAATGGAATGGAAATTACAATCTTCCAGTGTTACTGCAGAGCTGCAATATTGGGTTTCTCCTTACTCAGCCTTTAGCAGTAAGGAACCAGCTGCAGTGGAGATGGAGGTTTGGAATTTGCTTCCTAACCCCATCTAACTCTCTCCCGGGTCTGCCCTATTTTGAGTTATTGCACCACCTGGCACAGAGGATGTTACTGACTCCGGAGAGAAGAGTCAAGTTTTGCAATAATTTTTTTTATAGATTGCTAACTGAAGAATAAGAACAAAAATGAGCTGCTGGATAGCAGAAACCAGTGGTTTTCCCTATTCCTACCTAATTTATTGCAGTGAACCTCCGCTCCCACACTGAGTAAGGTACTTTGGCTCAGCTCAGGTATTTACTGTGTGTCAGCACTGAGCCAGTGGGGTGGTGGAGAGACCAGAGCCACACCAAAGCTCTGCATTTTGAACCAAATTGCTCCCACTCCCTTCCTACCTCCACCTTGGAACAAAACCTGAGAGCAGTGCTGAAGTGTGTTCCTAGATGACTTACTAAAGTAAAAACCACATCCAGAAATATTTTTAACAATTATGACATAGTATAAATGGGACAAACTTTACCAAAGCACTTGGTTATCCATTGCCTGGAGGGTGGGACCAGCTGCATCACTGGTTGGACAAACACGTAATAAAATGGGTGGACAGACAATCTAAAAGGCCTTCACTTACCTTAGTTAACTGTTTCCAGTAAATAGCCCTGACTCTGTCATTACTTTAGAGCAGGAAAATATTGATCCATGTCCTAAAAATGTTACCATCAGCCCTGCCATAGACTTCTTTGTCCAGCGGAATCCCCCTGGACTCACACGGATTTGTCCAGCTGCATCCATTCAGCTCAGCAAACAGCCTCTGACCATGACCATGGGCCATACTAGTCAGATGTCCTGTGTGGCCCATTCCATGGGACTGTGGAATGTCTGCTGTGTTCCATGCCACAGGCATCAGGACAAGAGGCTACTGGCAGTAAGCTCCTGGTCTAAATGAGCTTAAACATGGATTCAAACATTTCTCCTCTTATTAAACTGCTAGAAGCCACTTTTTTGCATTTTTAATTTGAATTAAGAACGCTATTATGTTAAGATTTGAAGGGTTCAGAGGCATTGTTTTTATATTATTTTTTAATTTTATTTTTTCATGCTTCTGTATGTTTCTTGCTTTCAGACAGAGAAACCCAAAGAGCAAAGTATTTTGCAAAAGCTGTGTGGTTGGAAGGTCTTTGAACTGCTTAACACCAGGAAGAGATGAAAAGCTCACAGGACAGGTTGTTCTCTGGAGGCTCTCAGCCCAGTCTGCAGGAGCTGAGGCAGTTTGGGTGCATTTGGGAGGTGGACTGAGGGAGGAAACATTCAGGTACTTTTCAACTATGCAACCAAACCATTTGTCACTTGTCTAGACGCGTGTTTCAGAAGGGAATAAAATAAAAGAAAGAAAAATACCATGTCTGGGAATTCTTCCCTGGTGACTGTTGTGCAGCCGAAGAACTGGGTAATTCCCTTCAACTGAATAAACATCGGAGGGAGTCTGAGAGCAATTTGGCTCCAGAGCAAATATTGTTACCAAATTCTTTGCACCTGCAGTGGTCAGGGAAATGATAATACACCCTCTCCATGTCCTCCTACCCCCCTTCCACTTTGGGAAGGAGCCCTGTAGCATCTCAGCTCTGCTACAGCACAAACATTTGTGTGGGCAGAGCCTCAGGTGAGACCCCGCTGGTACAGCCACGGCCCCGTCCCACCAAACCCACTCTGCTCCCCAAGGAAAGGGAGGGGTTGGTGTCAGACTCACAGGGAGGAGCTGCCTGTCACTGGTGGCCTCCTTGGACAGGGATTCCAGGACAAAGCAAATGGAAAGAAGCCATGAGATGTGGATAATGGTCTCCGCTGTTCCCAGCTCAGGCACAGGAACACAGCAGTAGCTGACGCCCCTGTGAGCCCATCAGCATCGGGGCTGCTCAGCTAACAGAGCCTCAAGACAGATAAAAAAATAGGGGGGAAATTGTAATATTTGTAATATTTTAAAATGTTTCTGCTGTAAAAGTATTTTTTCATGGGAAGTATCTTGGGCAGAAATGTAATTGCCTTATGAAGAGTTCTTGCATCACACGGAATGTAATTCTGTCCTGAATCACAAGTTACTGGGCTTATGCTACTACCTGAAGATATTTGACTGTATTTCCCTTAATTTTTAGTAAACTTGGTAAATTTAGTAAAATTGCTGTGCTTCTTTCTTGCGTAGAGAACTTTTCAAGTTATTTATATTAACCAATCACAGAAAAAAATGGGCAAGCTCTGTGTTCCACTGGAGTGGTTCGTCCTCACTACATCAAACTGTTGGCATCGTAATTTGCCACCCTGCCTCACACTAGCCATAGAATGCACTCATTTAGTCCTGCACAAAGCCCAATAAGTTGCATTTTAAATATAAAATAAACAAATAATGTATTTATTTATTTATTATATAAAGCACACATAGTTCAACAGCCTGATACTGAGTTGGCCTTGCTCACTCAGCCCCAAACTCCTGCACAGTAACAAGGAGTGTGCCATAGCCTCAGGAAGTTTTGGAGTGTCAGGAACTCAGCAGGCAGGTTTAAGAACAAGTATTTAGGGCTGTCTCTGGGAAATAAATGCTGTGTAAAGAGGAGAAAGTTTCACCACAATGTGAAGACAGTGATCAGATGATTAGGAAAGAGAACAAAAAAGAGACAACACTGAGTTACAACAAAGGAATTCAAAGGAATTATGCCAATTTCTGTTAGCTAAGTAGCTGTAAAGACTACCAAATATTCCTTATGATTCCTAAGCATATTAACTGATAGTTAATTCATATCTGTCCGTGAAAACGAACCCCCTACAACAGCACGATTTAATCACTGCAAATTCAGATTGGCAGAAAAAGTGCTCTGGGTTTTGTATCACTTGACTGAGCTTAGCAAATGAAAACACAGGAGATTTGGTTGATCCTCCACAAAGCTTTTGGGATGTGACGAGATCCGAAAGGAACAGGACAGTCTTGTGATTAGGTTTGGATTGCACTGAGCTGGGCTTGTGAGCTGTGTTGCTTCCGAGCCCAGCTGTGCCCTGCTGTGGTGGGCGAGGAGACCTCAGGATGAACGTCATTTGTCTTTGCCAGTTTTGTCCATTTGGACAAGGAGCAGGATCTGCCCTGGCAATGCATGAATGTAGTTCCTGCAGCACACAAGTAATTCAGGAACGAACCTGAACAAAACCTGACATTTCCTGCTCAAATAAGGGTGACACAGAAGGCTCCCCCAAACCCCAGCGCATCAGAAAATGTTCTCTCACCACACTACCAGCCCCAGTCAGCCCCAGTAACCTCATCCACCCCGATAAACCCAACCATTAGCTCCTGCTGAAGACACATTCCCACGGAGGCACAGGGAATGGCTGGAGCATCCCATGCCAGCACCGCACCGCTGCCCTGAAGGAGCAGCCCCATTAGCAGAGCCTCTGTTAGATTCAGCCCAGACTTCCTCACAGTATCACGTCATAAAACCATCGTGCATCTGGCCCAAATTTAAGGCACAGTTGGCAGCATTTGATACAAGAAAGAAACCAAGGACTGAATTAGTATCCCACGAGGTCGGTTTGTTTGTCAAGCCCCAGATGAAGTGCGGAGCCATGTGGAGAAGTCCTCGGTCTGCCTCTGAGCCCTTCCCAAAGGAAAGAAACGCTCTCTAGGTTTTATGCTCTTTGAAAACACCACTTCATTACCTGCCCTTTTTTTGTTGCCAGGAGAGGTTAACAAAATTACCGAGGGATGAAACATTCTTGAAACATTCTTTCTGGATCATCAAACAGGATTAGCGTATGAATTACACTGGGTGGTGCAGCTCACCTAAAGGAGAGGGGCAGTGGGGCTACACCTTGTCCTCCTCTTCCAGGAGTCACTGCAGTCCTCGGGGTGTGCACACACAGGCACACATGGCCTGGTGGGTTTGGAGGGGAGGCAAAGGGATAAATCTGAGTGCTGGTATTGCTCTTTGCTGTGCCTCAGTGCATACACCGAGCCTTGGTTTTGGCACGTGCTTGGCCAGTGCTGCTCCAGTCACTCCGTGAGTGTGGCACACACGGCTGGAAATCCTTCCCAACACCTGCCCACATGGACTTGCTCAGCTGCAGCAGAGCCAGGTAAGCCAGCAGGGCAGAGCTACACGCTGTGGGAAAGCTCAGCTCCCTCTGAGCCTTTATCCTTGCTGGGTGTGCTCCTTTGTGCACACAGACGTGACAACCAAGTGGTTACAACCCCCAGCAGGGAATGGCTTGGTCTGTCTTACAGAGAAAAGTGCTGTTCCAGCTCCACACCAAACACTCTTCCTACAGAATTTTTTTTAACCCATGGATCGCACAGGTACACAAGACCCTCCACATTTTATTTTGCTCAGCGCCTTTGCTCCTCCAACAGCCTGAGCTGCATCCCTGACTGGTACCAGTGTTCTCAGGGTGTTTGTTCCCTCTTTTTGTCTTTACTTTTGATCTGTCGCCACCACTGGGTTACAAAACTAAAGCTCTGATGTCCCTTGCCTATTACAATTATTTAGGTGGCCCTGGCAGCCCAAAGCATTTATGGTCATTGTAATTTAAATTTCTTTGCTGTAGTCTTCCAAATCTCCTGAAAATAGAAATTAAAACTACTGGGAAACACAAATGTTTTATAGATTATATGCATGTCTTTTAGAGGTAGTAGCCAGCTAAGCAGAAGGTAAGGGGGAAAAAGCAAGAGATCAAAATATAGGTGAGGACAAACGGTGGACAACAGCCCACACTGTCAAGTCCCAGGCATCCCACAAGAGAAAGAAGGGGAGCAAAAAGGAATTTTTTTTTAAGGAGAAATAGTGGCCTTTTCAAACACCCCATATTTTTGGGGGGGGGGGGAGATTTTTTGGAAATACTATTGCTCCATTCCATCTGTTTCTAGGGCAACCGTTATCAGCTGCTAATTTTACAGATGCTTCATTACTTGTGCCCCGCTGGCTTGTGGTTCTCCTTCAATCCCAGCCTCACCTCCTGCTTGCTGCTCCCCAGTGCAGGTCTCACCTACTCTGGGCACAAAAGACTAAGCCCTACAGTCTGCTCATTCCCAAAAAACCCAAACCAATCCCCGTCCCTTTCCTCCAGAGCATCCAGACTCCCATGTTTCCATCCATGGGTGTCACCAGCAGCAGGACCTGTTTGCACTCTGTATGCTCCTCTCTCTCCATTTAATAATCCATAGGCATGAGAGCTCTGTTTTTAGGTCCCAAGCATTCAGGCACTGCAGATTTGATAGGAGTTAACCCCAGCAGCAAGGGAAGGTGAGTTTATGGTTCCTGCAGTCAGGGCAGTGTCAGGACCCCGGTGGCTCTGGGGAAGGGTGCAGGGTATCAGAGCAAGCAGAGGCACAGCCCAGCACCAGCCCACGCCTCTGCCATGCCCAGCTCTCTGCCTGCAGTTGAAAGCAGCATCAAATGCCAGCGCTGGCCTTTCAGGTGAGAAGACAGCAGCCACAGCCATTTAAGACTGAGGTTAATGCTTCACTGAAGTCATGGCCTTAGGCTGCATTTTTTTCAAAAGCAGCAGCATTACTTTAAAAGCTTCACTTTCAGAAGTAACTTAAGCACTTAAATAGTAAGTCTTACTGGCTCCAAGTGAGGTTTACACCCTTAACTGCCTTGAGTTACCCTTGAAATAGGCTCCAGCCTCCAGCCAGTTTGCTGCTTGTCTGGCTGAGCTACCAGATCTTCAGGACAGGGACTGCTGTCTCTCACTCCACGAGGTTGGGTTTTTAAGTCCATACCTAAATCACTGGCATTTTTGGGTGCCAACTTATTCAAAATAATAGCTGGTCTTTTTATTGTGGGGCTGACCCTGCATTCCTCGTGGAGTCAAAGCTCCCTTTACTTTTGGAAGGTGCAAAGAAAAGCAGCCCACCATCTTGTTGCCAAATCGTTTTCCATGGGAGATTTGATTTGAAACACAAAATACCAGGATTTATGAGAGGAACTGGCCACAATGTAATCATAAGAACATACCAGCATTGTAGTTCCCCACCCTTTGATCTTGGCACTTTAATGATTAATTAGTGCTAAAGTACTGGAAAAATACCACACTTGAGGCAGTTTAAAGCTTCTCTTTGTATAGATACAAACTATGACTCACATGAAAGGATAACCCAGAACTGCAAGAGGGTGAGATTAACACACAAGCCTCTGGTCACACGCAGATGTTTGCCCAACTGGACAAATTGGGGAATCTCCTCAGCTTTAGGGACTGTTTCCATTAAGCTGCCTATATTTTCCACCCCTGCAAGAAAGGCTAAGTGTCAACTTGGAGGGAAATCCGTCCCTTAGAAAGAGACACGCGTTTAAGGCGCCGTGAGCTTTAAAGAAGCATCACATCCTATGGCAGTTTGCAGAAAGCAAATCCTCGCCTCGGGCGGTTGAAGAGAAGCCACTTCCCCCTTCCCCTGTCACAGCTGTGGGTTTAAATGCTTCCAAATATGCTTTGGGGTGTAAGTCCCAGTACCACCAGTGCTCAGGACAAAGCATGACGCGGGAGGGAGAGCTTTTCCTCACTTAATCCTGCAGTTTACATGTGCAGCACCAAAAATCTGGTGCTGACCTTGTACACTCACAGCCCTGGCTCTCACCCTCCATCCCTGTGCATGGAACCACTCCGGGATGCAGAAGAGGACAAGAGCACACGATCTAACCAGACATGGCTGATGTGCCTCCTCAGCAAAAAATGACTGCAATGTGGAGAGCCCAGAGCCAAAGCTGACTGTAACCTGTATTTTCCTAATGAGCTACGGGCCGAGTCCCACCAGCACCGGGCTGGGGCAGGGCAGTGCCTCCAGGCCGGACTCCCACCTCTCCCTGCTGGTGGGAGCAGTCCCAGCCTCCCAGAGAGGGACCTGTGTGCAGAGGCTGAACGTGGCCTAATAAACCAGGAGACCCTGCCAAAACATAGTGAGTAATGCACAGCCCCCTCCTTAACCTGATTCCAGCTGAGTGCTGCAAACACCTTCTGATTTATGTCAGATTTGTGACTGCACATGGAGACTCCTGCTTGCAACCTGCACATAGAGTTGACTTTGCTCAGGGACAAATTTCAGGAGAGGTTTGCTTGGGGTTTTTTTTCTATCTGGGAAATTTAACATGAAGTATTTAACTGGAGTCACCATAGCAATAAAGACTGCTGAGGATGCCATAA